CTTGTGTACTTTTGACTGTGGTTGTGGTAGTTCTCCAAGTTTAAACTCCGTACAGTAAAACTGTTTTGAAATTTGTAGTAAACCTTTTGGTTGAAAATGATTTGAATTCCATATATTCTTTAACTGTAGGAATGCTGCCCTTGCTTCTCCAATTCTTGCCTTTATGTTTGCATCAGACCCTCCTTGTTCATTGATGGTGCTGTCCAGGCATGTGAACGTTTCCACCGCTTTAGAAGTTTCTCCATCAAGCGTGATTAGGTTGGAGTCCTGCGTGTTGCATTTAATAATCTTGCCTTTCCCATTGAAGATGCCACAGGTATTCGGAGTTTGGCAACGCTTTAACCAGCAACACCTTATATGAAGTGCACCCACCAAGTAAAATCAAAAATAGTAATAGTAATAATAATTTATTCTCAAATAACATTTTGTTACATGAGGCATGCCAGTTTACTGGCAAGATCAAATTGTTACAAATGATACAAATTCCAACTGTAGTAAATTACTCAGCTCGGTCGATAATTTATAAGATATGAATGTGGAATGGTTGTAGACAGTATCACAGCTGGCGCGCTTCATGAAAGTTGCGTTGCAACGTGCAACTGATGGTCAATAATAGATTCATGTGCAGTTGAGGGCTTCTAGAAATCGCAATCTTATATCCCTTTGTAATATTTGAGGCTTTAAGGATGGTGCAGGACCAGGTCACCCGTTCCGTATCTCAGGGGGGCTGAAAAATGGTGCAAGAAAAAGAAGAAAATAAAAAAGGGCGAGAAGCAGAACAGACAATGTTCATGAAGAAATAGTTAATGTATGACTACTCACTCTGATTCTCTTTTATTAAAGTATTTAGTAAGCAGGAGCATCCTAATAAGTTAAAGAAAATAAGTGTAAACAAGGTGTGAGTGGATAAATAACTGACAAATGGAGGTGGTTCAGGAAGAAACTGAGACTATGGGGACATGTGTAGTTATAAAATAAAGTATAAAAACAGTGTTATGATACATAAATGGCTGTCTCCCTTTTTTTATCGACGCTATTTCAGCCTCTTTTAGACAGAAGCGAGGAGATCAAAGATATATTTGATAAGCTATCAATATATCGAGGATCGTTTGCACTAATCTGGCTAGCGATTGTGGTAGATGTTGAGCACGGCGTTCTCACACGTGATCTGGTGCGGATGCTTGACCGAGAGCCTTCAGCTAGATGAGTCCACTAAAACTGTTGTCAGCATCCAATGTCGAAAACTTACAGAGCTATTTATTTTGAGGAATTATTTACCGCTACACCTTATAAATGTCGAGGCCTACCGATGTACAGGCTGTTGTTACACTCCTATTGACCTGTAATTATTATTAATGCAGGCATAATCGATATAATTCTCTGTAGTGTGATCATGTAACACTATTGTATCTTTTTGTGTGCGTTTGTGCGGGAATATTATGTTGCATATAACCATTTTGTCGATGCACAGAAATTTGCAAATCTCTCTCCATTCTCATTCCTTTCCTTCAGCCCATGTCGTCTTATATCTTCATACCCTGTTATCCATTGCGAATTTGGAGTTCAAGTTTTTCATCAGGATGATCAGGTCATTTCCTGAGCACTATAGCTTCTCATAGAACTGATATCTATCTTCTTCACTGCTATCATTGGTGGATGAATAACGTTGGATAACATTGAAGACGCCACAGGTATTCGGAGTTTGACAACCAGTAACACCTAATATGAAGCGTACCCATCAAGTGAAATCAAAAGACAGGAGAGAGGAGGTTCGAAGATATATTTGATAAGCTATCAATATGTCAAGTATCGTCTGAACTAGTCTGGCTAGCGATTGCAGTAGATGTTGAGCACAGCGTTTCCACACGTGATCTGGTACGGATGCATGACCGAGCGCCTTTAGCTAGATGAGTCCATTAAAACTAAAGTGGTCAGTATCCAATGTCGAAAACCTACAGAGCTATTTATTTTGGGGATTTTATTTACCGCTACAACATTCACTGTAACTCCCTTTTTTCTGTTTTTGATTGATAATTTGATTATCCTTCGTGTAATACCCCGATGAGAATAATGAGTGGTAACTGTTGGGATCTATTTCTAGACTATAACTATGCGTATACTTTTATCGTATAATTGTTAAATAACTAAAATATTCATATTAGTTTCCCTCTTATTATGGGCTTTAATTTGACCTATGAACTATTATTATACGATTTACCATTCTTGAGTTATACCTAGTCTATCAATTACTACCTCCCTCATTCACAGCCACTTTTGGCTAATTCTTGTACATATGTCATTTTGTATTTTATGGTACGATGTAGTCTGTTTGGTTGGTGTATAAACCTAGTATGTTTGAGATAAATGATTCATATTGCAGAGGCTGAGATTAGTGCTCTGTACTCAACTGGCTGGGCTAGGCGGGAAGCAGGACCGATAAGAACACCAGACTGCTCGCACCGGTCTTATGTGTCATTGGTCCGGTCGATAATTGACGGTTCTGTAATTGACAGTATCAATACAGTATACGTCAATACGACACGGCACAAGTTATAACACTTGGTCCATGAGATTTCCATACTATAAGTGCATTTCGTGCTTGTTTGAACAGCATCAGAGCAACTCCATCAGTGTGAGGAGAATTTTCTTCTTCGTGACTGAAGCACAGAAGTATTTTCCCCGAATCTGTTCTTTTCTTTCCAGTTAGGGTCAAAAGGCCTTCATTGATCCTAAGCACTATAAACTGTATCTCGTCATTTCCTCAGTATTTGATCGGTCCTTCAGGTCTCTCACATTGTCCGTACGTCCCATATACCTATGTTAACTTTTACTCTGGTTATCAGAAGGGGCATCGGACTCGTGATTTTTGAATAATCTCGGCCTTCATGACGAGGCGTCTTAATTCTTACTTCAACTTGGAGAGCGGAGTTCACATGGTTTAAACTGTTCATTCTGGCTAGCGTTTTTTTAACAAGGTTGTTTTCTATGGTATGGGGTCTCTGACTCTATGCTCTATGCTCCTTCCTTACATGGTCTGGGGACCAGCAGTAACCTTAGAAGAGCTACAGGAGGAGTTATGGGATAAGTTGGGCTAAGTATTGATCACGAGATGTGACTTGGACATGACCTAGGAGATTGTAATGACAGTGAAGTCACACGGGTTCCTAACCACACGATCCTTGAAGCTGAATATATGGTGAACAAGACGATTTACGTTAGCCGTTAAAAACTTGAATAATGTCAATAAACCTTGATAGGGCTATATGTAATGAAGACTACATGGCTTTTCATAAACGCGTGGTTACTCTGTTTACCTCCTTTTTTTACATTAAATATATTATTTTACCACTAGCCCAAATGTGTCCTGTCCAGACATGTCTTCATGTGACATTTCTAACCTATTAAATTGTACTGAGTTTTCCATAAAGAAGAGGGTGCTTTGTACGCGCCTTTTTAATATTTCGTATTTTATGCGTAGTTTATTTTCATATTTAACATTACCTATACTCAAATATTGTCAGTAGGTTGTAAGTGCTTCTCCTGTCTGGTTCCTTCATAGTCAGTCTTCTTGAACAAGTGTTCAAAAATATAGGTTTCCAAAACACAATCTTATACCCAACTTATTTTATTCCATTGGAATCATAAATTGGTCCAACTTGGACAACCACTGTTAACCTGGAACCACCGGATTGCCTTTGCTCCATAGTATGGGACTCCTCAGCAGCATGCATACACCATCTTGCTACAAGAAATCGAACCCAAGACATACGGTCACACGAACGAATGACTAACCTCTAGGAAATTAAATAATCCAATAATGATTAAGTCTATTATTAATCAGTCTAAGATATTGCATAAATATCTTCCGTTGTCTTCAGTGGCTACCTTCCTCACCTTGATACGGTTTTGTCCCATTGGTCACGGCTTATCACTGGAACTCTTAGATTTCCTCAGACTGGCCACCCTTGACCTTGACAATATTCAGCAAACATCCCAATGTCTAGTGATCAGTTTTCTCACTTTGAAAGTATGTAGCCTTATCGACGATCTGGTTAGTATTTAGCAATGTCTCATTCGCTCTACAGGTCTACAATTCGTAGATCACCAGCGTAGATGATCTATGTCGAATGATCGAAAGCCTACTCGAGTTAGACGGGAATGGTGTGACGAACTAGCTAGTGTCGAAGTCACGCCTCGTGATCAGCACCATACATAGACTACCTCATTGACGTATCAAGGTACTATAGATGCTTTGAAGACTGTACAACACAGAGGACGTTATTACTGAAATATATTAGTTAAAGTAGATACAAGCGAAGGTAAGACCACTGCCGCATGGGCCAGTGCATGACGTACGATTAATTGATGCGTGTTGGCTGTCCTTGACCTCGACTAGGATTGATGATTTGTTCGATATCCAATGACCCAACTGCCGGATGATTTGGCTAGGGCTCAGTGGAATTTCACTGGCCCTACAATTTCATTAGAATCGTCATATGTTAATCAATGGAGTCAAAAGGAAGTATTTAATACTAAATTAACATACGAAATTTGTAAGACTACTTGAATATGAATATGTACTGTTTTTTGCCTGTCTAGGACTAGTACCCTCCGAAAGCATCACAAAAATGAACTGAGATCGAATAAACTCGGGCTACATTTCTGTTGTTCTTACTGAGTGGTTAATGTCTGGTGCTCCATACTTAGATGGATGGTATCATCCACTTCCTCAACGCTCCTTAAGAAACCTCATATTTCCTCCATGTATCAAAATAGATCAAATAACTTACTAACCTGATTAACGAAGATCGACAGACAGAATTTAGAGCTACACTACTCTCATAACTACCCCTTCCATGTATACAGAATACACACATTCACTTAACGGATTACCTCAAGTTTGCTTTATTTCAGCTGTTAAATCGAATGGTTAGATTTATTCAGATACTACTTTACACCTTTATGACAGCTTTGGGGATTCATCAGTCGTTTGTCTTGTTACACGTCAGTGCGGCAGTTATGAATAATTTACATATTGCTGTTTTTGGTTGGGTCTCAGTGTTTATGTTACCAATAAGGCTTTGCTGTTTATTTACCACCTTTCACGTTTTTTTAATCACAATTATGTTTGATTTTTAACTCGTCAATGCACTATCTTATGGTAATCAAGACACGTGCTAAAGACGTGCTCGAATGAGCATGCTTCTCTTGTTTCATTTCTAATCTTTTAACAGGACTAGTACTTATGTGTCCTTTTTTGCTTCAGTATCACCCGTCTTAATTTTTTCAAAATCGCCTTATTGTTAGGTGACAACTGACAATGTTCTTTTTTATTTCGTCTTATGGATTATATAGTATCAATGTTTTTGACCCAACTCGGGACTCTTGTGTCGTTGTTGATCAGTAAAATCCTCATGTCTATGTGTACCGGAAGTCTTAAAATCACATTATAAGTTGGTAGAGCAAACCGAAAAATGACCTTGATCAGCTAGAAAGGGCGAACAACCGAGCGACCAGGATGTTTATTACATATTCCAGTCACCTCAGCCGGTGAAAGCTTATATTCCCACCAACCTACCTGGAATCTCCTGATTTTTTCTTCAGACCTAGTGTATTTAATATCTATAATATGATCCTTTTTCCTCTTTCCGGTTCATTTTTATGGAGCTCCCACCAAGATTTTACTGCAAAAAGTGGTTGAAGTATGTATTATTCAGTTAGTTTTTTAACTCAATATATTATAGGTGGTAATAGCCTGTACGGAGTTCCAAGTTTTGGCATAATGAACAATAAAATCTGATTTCCTGTTTACCTTCAGAACTCGTACATAATCCAAAGTTATCTTTTACCTGATAAGAGCGTAGCTAAAAGTTGACTAGATAAACCTGCGCATAAGTTTAATTTATTTATTTATTTTAACACATAAGTATAGGTACAGGGAGGCACCAAATACATATGCGCCACACAAATCTCAATTGATTTGTGTGAGGGCTGTGAAACTGCCCGGGTGCCCAAACCGAAGCAGGTGGTTTTCTTAGGGGGCCACACCCCGAGCCTTTGACCTGAACGTCTGACCCACAAGGCAGTGGAGCATCGTGAGGAGATGCAGTCCCAATGTAGCCGGTGACCAACGAGTGGTTCATACGCCATTTGTTCCCTCAGGATACTGGAGCCCATGTGCACCATTGGTTTGGGATCCGGTTAAAGCGCCAGACATTCGCTTTTCGTCCTCTCATTTTTGTAAACAACACCCGTGGTGCGAGAAGGCAGTGAGTAGGACTTCCCTGTCAGAGGCTATATACGCGTGGCCATGTGAGAGCATTTCGAGAGGGAGAGCGGACTCTCCCGACTCTCAGCCGTACCAGGGCATTTGGGGGCAAGTTTAACTTAGTCAACTGGCCTAGCGGAATTTTGTGAAGCTCGTATCCAGTTGAACTAGTGTCCCTAATATGAAACAATTGTTAACCTGTACTACATTGAAAGGTGTTCCTGAGAAGTACATAAACATTGTGAACGCTCTTCACTAGAACACTACCAGTCGATTCAGAGCATATGGCGAACTGTAATGTCATTTTGCAACCTCAAGTGATGCCTGTCAAGGCTGTCCACTTTCTCCATTTTTATTCAACTTCACCATAGATCTGATGGAAATAATGCTCTCATCGACTGAATTCTCGGGGATTAATCTCCTACCAGGAGGTCCACTTATCGACTTAGGATACGCAGATGACATAGTCCTGTTTGGTGAAGACGCTGATGAAATGCAGAGTCTTTTGGTAGCACTGAGCAACAATGCCAGAATGTTTGGGATGCGCTTCTTTCCCTCTAAATGCAAGTTGTTGCTTCAGGACTGACCTTCGTCAACACCTGAACTAAGGATAGGGAGTGAGGTAGTCGAACGTGTTGACAACTTCACTTATCTTGGAAGTCTGATCAGCTCTAATGGGTTGGTGTCTGACGAAATCTCAACACGGATTCGAAAAGCTCGTTTGGCTTTTGCCAACTTACGTCGCCTATGAGGAAGGCGAGATATTCATCTATCAATAAAAGGACGACTATACTGCTCGGCAGTTCGTTCTGTTTTACTTTATGGCTGCGAAACATGGCCATTAAGAGTTGAAGATACTCTTAAGCTACTAATATTTGACCACAGATGGCTTAGAAATATTGCTGGTATCTGCTGGGATCACCGGGTAAGTAATAGTGAGGTTAGACTCAGGGTATTAAGGAATAGTGGTAAACCAGTTGATGAGGTTGTGAATCTTCATCGACCGAGACGGTTGGGTCACGTGTTACGTATGCCCAACCACCGATTACCACAACACGCAATGTTGGAGATAGTTGGAAGTTAGGGGTGGCTAAACCAAAACGTGGCATCAGTGTTTGAAGTCACTAACATCTGGTCTTAGCCATGTTAGTAGACGCAAACTACTTGTTTGGGGTCCGCGTGACTATCGTAACTAATGGTTGGAGACTGTGTGACGTGGTTCAGGATCAATCACAATGGCGTAGGTGTATACACTCTTTGTCCTCCCTCAAACACTGAGATTAAAGTCGCTTTATATCTTTCTACCAACTAATTCTTTATTCCTGTGCTATATCCTTATACACAATCTTTCTTTTATACATTACTATCATTGAAGTGACCAATTCTATCAATTTGGTTTTGATCTTGTTCTAACGAGGTGTGGCAGCTTGGATCGATGCATATGTGTGCCTGGTCCTATTTTGTAACTGACTGACTGTGTTACATATATCAGACTACAAATACCACTTAGCCGTTGACGAATCAATATATTTATAACCTAAACAAATCTTGATTTCCCCTTAAGAATCATCAATAATTTACTTAATAAATTCAATGTGAAGTGATCCTGACAAACTCAAAAAACTATCTAGCGGATGCCTTTAAAAATTTATGATGCAATACGTTTTTTTTGTTACAGGTCGTCGTTCATAATCCGATTTCCATGTGATTACAACTTCTTAAAATTCCACCATCCCGTGAAATTATATAATGTCAGAAAACTCATATCACTGCATTTATTGCAATAATCGTGTTGCCGCTCTTTACACCCAATATACTGAGGAAATAATTAAGATGGAACATTGTCCTAGATGTGGGAATGTTTCGGACAAATATATCGAGTATGATTTGTTTCTAGTTATTATCGATCTTCTCATTGGTCGCCTTGAAGCCTATCGTCATGTTATTCACAATGTTCCCAGTCTAAGTCTTCCAAAGATACTTTCTATGTCCATTTTGTTGAATGCTTTTGTGTCTTGGCTTAGTGAGCAACCAAAAACTGAGAACAATCTGGCTAATCTTTCTTTTTCTTTCAGTTCTGATCTATTTATTCACATTGTATCAATTTTTTGGTGGTGTTTTTGCTTTTGTTTAACAATCATATTTTTGTTTCCGATCACTAAAATAACCACTGTATCCGAATTAATTAAAGTGTCACTTATTGTTAACCTCAGCAGATTATTAACTTTTCTTCTAATTACGTGGAAGACTGAGTTCGATTCCTTTTTTGTAGGTACATTACAGTTTTATCCTTTTGTTTCCACTTGTTTGGCATTAACACCATGTATACAAAGTTTAAGAGCTGTGAATAATCTCAATTTAACCACAGCTTTTTGTTTGGGTACATTTATATGTGCTGTTAGTTTTCTCTCATCTACCGTTGTACTACCAAATATATTAATGTTTCTATATATATAATTTTGATTGATGACTTTTAATACTCAACTTTATTCTCCCCTATTGTTGTAGTAAAATGATCACATTTTTGGCATTTCTGGTTCTATATTCTACTTTTCTGGATACATGTTTGAGTGATAACAGAGTTTCTGTCACTTTGGTTCCAAAATGGAAAAATACACCTCTGTTATCAGAAGCCAGGTAACTCGTCTACTTGAATTTTAACTATATTATCTTCACATACATAAAATTACCGCTTATTTTGTTGTCGTTTACTAGTTGACAGTATTTCTCAGAACACTGACTTATAGTTTTGAAAGCATACTGTCATCAGAAGAAATTTTGTGCTGTATTTTGGTCTATCTAAGCCCCTTAAACGATATATATTCATTCACTTTGACTCAGTGCTTATAAGCATAAAAAACTAATATATCTTTACCATTTCTGAAGTATTTTGGTAAGACGTGACATTTATCTGACTTATGTTTTTTCTCGTTCAGTGAATATGTTGCTCGTGAATCCAACTCTGCATTTTGGCGATTTTTGGATCTTATCTCAAAGGACTTGGACTTCATAAAGACAAATCTTATGTCTCCTGCAGATGATTACCTTTTGATTTCTAAAAATAGACTATTGGAGAAACGGGTTAAAGAGCTTGCCATTCAGGCCATTAGTGGTACTAGCTCAAAAAATAGCTCTTTAGAGATTCATAATCGACTGTTTACTTTGTCCGTCTCATCTAGAATGTTTTCACCCACAGTTGAAATGTCACATCAACTTGCTCTGACTGATGCAAGTTATTTGTTAAATTGTTCACGTGAGACTGTTCTAGCTGAATTAACAAGCCGAACCTCCGGAGTAGCTTGGGTTCTTGCCGGGTCAGAGGCCGTTTTTTCCATTGACAAACTCAAGGAATCTATTGAGAAAGCTGTAGATTCTAATTCACAACCATGTAAGTTGATCCAATTAGAGAAAATTTGGAAGCATTATTTTTATGTTCGTTCCTTTTTAATCTGTTAAGCAATGTATAATGTATCAGGAATAAGAGTGGTCTTCCTTATTGTTTATACCTTTGAATTATTTGTGGTTTTTGTGATAATGTGAAAAGAGAGAGGAAGGTGAGTGTAATAAAAAAATAAACAAACGGAAACAGGTGAATGAGAATAAGAAATAATGGGAAAAGCAGTTCAGTTAAGAAAATTACATTTAAGGAAAATTCTTTCAGTTAAAGAAGTTCCTCTGAGTTTTATGAGAAAAGCAAAAGAATTACATCAGGACTGCCACTAGCTTCTGTTCTGAGTTGTCTAATAATCTCTCAAGCCACTTTGTTGAACTACCTGTAGGAACGCAAAGATTGAATCATGATGGACCGACAGAAGTCAACCCTGTACAAATTTCTCTCATTTTACCACACTATGTCGTTCACTGACTACCTTTCCGCTTTTTCCAAGCCGTCACAGCATCGGCAAATAATGAAAGTTATGGAATTCTCTGGGACGACATTCTTAACATGTCCAAGCCACCGAAGTCGATGTTTCAGATTGGTGACACCAATTGAAGTATCGTTGCTATGCCCGAACACACGATGACGAACCTCTGCATTACTAACATAGTGTTGCCACTGGATGTCAGCAATATTTCGGAGATAACGATCATCAAACACAAAGAGTCGCTTAACATTCTTAGCTCAATGAGGCCGAGTTTCACAAGCATGAAGCAACACTGTCCTCACCGACTTGTATAAATGAGTAAAATTAACCATTATCATTTGGAATTTTTAGTACTTAGTGTTTAAATTCAAACGTTCTGGTTGTTTAATAAGAATGATGGTAGTATAAATTTAATCTGATCTTTCTATTTATTCTGTTTGTTGTCAACATTTATGGTTTGCACAATAGCAGCGTATCATTTTAGGTTAATGGAAATGCAAAAAACACAAGAGGAACCAGCTAATGAAACGAAATTGAAGGAGCGTGCAGAAGGAAAAGAATGAGTGGGATTGAACTAACAAACGTTCATTATTATTCACGAGAATTTATACTTTCTTGTTCTTGATATTCAGGACTGAATTTCATCAACCTTCATTGCCTTAGATCTCCTTGAGGAGATGCCACGATTCATAATCTGTATTCACTTGATAACTAGCAATGGGATCCAAGACACATTTTGTCCTACTTGAGTCTCATCAGCTAGATTTACCTTAACTCGATTGTTGATGTTCACACTATGACTGAGTTCAGCACCGGTACCTATCACTTCAAATATCTGCATGCTATTCACCAAACTACTGAGTTATCATAGTCCCATGAATGGTTACACTGCTAATCACTACCCTAAGGACTAGTCAAATTTACTCCTAAATGACAACGGTGGGAAGAAAATCTACAAATAATAACAAAGTTCACTTCTGTCGAACATTTGTGGTAGTTTTTTCATAAATGATGGACTTTAGCCTAAAAACTAACGTGAGTCTATTAATTATATAATTGAAATCAGTAGGCTACCATTTATCATCTGTTGTGTTATTCATTATTTTCAAGCTTTATTTTCACTTGAAAAAGTGTATTCATCACCAAAAGATACTTCCAATAACATTCCTACAGTAATTCTATATGGAGATTTAAGTCATCACGAATTTTACTCATGGTATAAAAGTTTAAAAGCATTGTCTGATGATGGTCTATGTAATTATGCATTCAGACATTATTTTCAGGTGAGTATATCAATGGTAATTTTCCGTTGTCATTATGTATACGTAGTACAGTGGCACAAATAGTTATCAACCATTTAGTTTTTGATTTGTAATCTCTCCCCTATTAATAACCTATGTAACTCGTTTGCCGAGTACACATTTATGCACTCTGTTTTTAGCCACACTTCATTTGGAAGCTAGTGCTGTTGCAAATTCTTTACCCATATCGAAGTAGTTAAAAGCTGGGATCCAAACTTGTCACCTAGCAGCCAGACATCGAGAGGTCTAACCGACTAACTACTATTTTACTATATACACGTCTGTCTGGACAGCTCTGAGTATTACTAACCCTCGAACAAAAATGACAAATATGATTCATAGCTCTTAGTATATTTAAGTATGCAAATTGGCTGAGTTACATTACTTTCCTTGTTATACTCCTGGTGTTAGTCGTTATATTGATATTGGATGCTAAACGACAATTTATTTATTTTAACACATAGATATTGGTACACGGAGGCACCAAATACATATGCGCCACACGAATCTCAATTGATTTGTGTGAGGGCCTGGGTGCCCAAACCGAAACAGGTGGCTTTCTTAGGGGGCCATACCCCAAGCCCTCGACCTGATTGTCCGACGCACAAGGCAGTGGAGCATCGTAAGGAGATGCAGTCCCATGGTAGCCGGTGACCAACGATTGGTTCATACGTCATTTGTTCCCTCAGGATACTGGAGCCCATGTGCACCATTGGTTTGGGATCCGGTTAAAGCGCCAGACATTCGCTTTTCGTCCTCTCATTTTTGTAAACAACACCCGTGGTGCGAGAAGGCAGTGAGTAGGACTTCCCTGTCAGAGGCCATAAACGCGTGGCCATGTGAGAGCATTTCAAGAGGGAGAGCGGACTCTCCCCACTCTCAGCCGTACCAGGGCATTTGGGGGCAATATTGAACTGTAGTACGATTGTGGTACAGTTTTCATACTATATTATGTAGTATATCATCTCTGTTCATGATACATTAAAGTACTATCGATTTCTGAGGTAAATCAACTTAAATTTACCCAACCCAGTCTGTTTAGTTTTTGTAGGCGGATATATGACAGATGAAACATATTCAATATTTGTTTAACAAGTTTCATCGTTGGTTGTCGTAACATTATTATCATTATTTATTCATTTAACCTTCTTTTGAAAGAACCGAAATTTGAGTGGGACAAGTTTAAATGGTTATGGTGTAGAACTTGCTTTGAAAAGCACTGAATATAAAGCTATGGATGATACAAAATCAGAAGGTACGTCTTGTCATTGTTGTGTTATACGATGTATAGGTTTCTCACTGTTTATTTAACGGTAATGTGAAGTGAATTTACGTTGTCTAATTCTGTCACCGCTTATTATCACTACTAATATGTTATATATATATATATATATATATATATATATATATATATATATAATTGTTTTTGTTTTATAATAGGTCTAATCCCTATTTCGTATAAAATTACTCCAAGTAGTTGGTTTACAACTCACACCATAAGTTATATATATATATATATATATATATATATATATATATATATATATATATATATATATATTGGAGTCGTGTTACCGTGTTTAAAGCATTTGACTTTCAGCCACTAAGTCACATATTCAAAAACCACTCCTATCCCGGTTCGGGAGACCGGGTTGTTTCACTAGTTCGCACGCATAGTGTGACGAACCCAAATACGCAAATCTTTAATTGATACTAATTTAATATTAATAATAATGTATTGTTTATTTCAGAATCAGATAATGTATCATTAAAAGAAACCGATAAAATTGTTGATGTACCAATTGTCGCAGGATTCAATTTTACACAACTTCTAAATATTCATCCAGAGTTAACTAAAGAACTCAATGAATTTCATAGTCATTTATTGACTACAGATGATGAATTACGTCCACTGAAAGCTTGGCAATTTCGTGACTTAAGCTTACAAGCTTGTCAAATAGTTATAGATGGATTCTTATCAAACATGAAACATGAAGGTTTCATCGGATCGTATATTGATTTAGGCTTATGGAGTTTACGTGATATTAGTCAAAATTTACCAGCACGAGCAAGGTAATTCAACACTGATGACATTTTTTTCTTAGGTGGAGTTTTGTTCTCCGAGTTGAATCGTTTAGTCGTGGAGATTTCATTGCTCTTCCGAACAACATCAGCACAAACTTTAGGTAGGAGTGAATTGTTTGAATTTCTTCACATATGACTCGCAGTTTGTCCTGTCGACCGCCATCTTGATTGCTTATTGTTGACATTTAACCTGTCGTTGTCTACTTTATTTTAATTGTATCTCTCTTTGATTTGATCCTGGGTCTTATATCCGTTCATGATTTTTCGGATTTCGTGCCGATGATGTTGTTCAGAATGTAAGTTCCACGGCCAAACCTTCCACCTCAGAGAACAAAACTGATCGTAAATCATTCACCTAAGCTACAAATCTTTTCCAGCATCTCAAAAGTTTTATACTCAGTTTAATATGGTTTTACTAACAACAATTAAACTTGAAAAGTGATTCTTATAGGATACTTGTGATTATAGAAGATTATTTAGTAAAATTCGTCTCTTTTCTTTTTACTTTATATTTGTTTATTTATGCATTGCATTCATTTCACTCTATTTCAAACGGTTACAACTTTTCTGAAATTTTCGAGAGTACAAAATAATAATCATCTCCTGTCTTCAGTAATTTGTTGTTAATGGACTTCGATAAAAATAGAGTTTAGGAAGTCATCAGATTAAAACATACCGACCATTATTTAAATCAATATAGATTATTACGGGGCATCATGACTTTATGAGGGGTCTTTTAGGCAACTGAAATAAGTGTTTAACGTCAATCTTGGATAATATATAGTTGTTAGCTTATTTATTACGTAATCTGGTATCAACAGTAATCTTTTTATCAACTAACGTACATTGATTTATTCCCGCTCTTTTTTTTCTCCTTCAAGTTTATTACTATTCCTTTGCTTTTCCTAGCAATTTTCATTGTACGTTTACGATTATTGGAATTTAAATTTGTATTCATTAATTTATGTGCTTAAATTTATCTTTTGTGTGCTGTGGAAAAAACAAGATGGCCAGAGTCAATGCTTGTTTGCAACGTGTTTTACTGTCAGTAAATAAAATCCCAAGTATTTATTTAATATATTCAATGGCATCATCTGTGAATGTTACGCTTTTTACTTCATGAAATTCAGGGCTTTATTTTGTAAGCAAACAGATATGATTTATCGTCATCATGCAATAATTATTTATTGCAATGGTTAAGATCATAAGTCAGTTGAAGTTAGACCACCATGGAAAACCTGGAAGCACTGGACGGCCGTTTCGTCTTAGTGTGAGGCTCCTCATCAGTGCGCATCCACGTTCCCACCTCGCGAGATTCGAACCTAGGACCTATCAGTCTCGCACGCGAACGGTTGATCTTTAGACCATTGAACCGGCATCCAACGGTGTTAATGTCTAATTTTAACCAATCCACGAAATCGAGCCACCGTTCACCATTTATTTATTTTAATACATAGGTATTGGTACACGGAGGCACCAAATACATATGCGCCACACGAATCTCAATTGATTTGTGTGAGGGCCTGGGTGCCCAAACCGAAACAGGTGGCTTTCTTAGGGGGCCACACCCCGAGCCTTTGACCTGAACGTCTGACCCACAAGGCAGTGGAGCATCGTGAGGAGATGCAGTCCCATGGTAGCCGGTGACCAACGATTGGTTCATACGCCATTTGTTCCCTCAGGATACTGGAGCCCATGTGCACCATTGGTTTGGGATCCGGTTAAAGCGCCAGACATTCGCTTTTCGTCCTCTCATTTTTGTAAACAACACCCCCGCCACGAGAAGGCAGTGAGTAGGACTTCCCTGTCAGAGGCTATAAACGCGTGGCCATGTGAGAGCATTTCAAGAGGGAGAGCGGACTCTCCCCACTCTCGGCCGTACCAGGGCAGATGATTATTATTAAAAGGGGTTCGAATCTCCCTGGGGGATCGTGGATGCGCACTGCTTAGGAGTCCCATACTAGGACGAAACAACCGTCCAATGCTTCCAGGTTTTCCATGGTGGTCTAGCTTCAATTGACTCATGATTCAACTACTGGAATATTTATTTGTTTAAATTTTAATTACATTAATTATTTTTCTTACATTTAATTAGCTCTACCATTTATTATCCTTGATTCTAACATTCTAAATTTATATTCATACCACATACTATCCATTACTTTTGCTTACGTCTAGTCGTCTTGTCAATGTAAATGTAAATTCAAGTCTTCGTACAGAGTCAAGTAAAAATCAGCATGTTCTAACTGGAACATACGGTATACAACCTGGTCAAAGTTTACTTCTTCTAAATGGTATTTTACTTTCATCTTCAGTTGATATATTTGCTTTATTGGATGTCATACGTCAAGAGTCTAAAATGATGACACAACTACATGATTTAGGCATACCAGTAAGTACTAAGTACTAATTGTTAATTCATATTTATAATCCAGTTTTTAATTTCATATTTATTAAAAAGTATCTTCATTTTGTACTTCCCCTATCTTCACTACTCATGATAGTCAACAGTTGAAAATGTTTATTGATTCAGTTCTTACCTTCAGTTGTGACTAATTTTCAAGTTTTATGAGCTATTCAGTCAGTCAGTCAATCATAGCTAACGTACTACCTGATACGAACGTTGCTACACTTAACGTATTCCAAATAAAATGATCTCGGATACTGTTAGAATTATGGGGGTGGTTATCACTTCCTCGCTACCCATACTGCGCCTCACTGTACGCAAAAAAGCCACATTAAAAAGACCCATTAGAACTGAACTGAGTAACGAGAAAACCAAATGTAGGTTCCAAGAACAACTGAAGTCACACTTAGGTAGTTCTGAAAACGAGGCTGACCCAGATGTTGCTTGAAAAGATATACAATCTGCTGTGGAAACAGCAGTGACATCAATTAGTAATGTAAACCACAGGGTTACAAAGAACCAATGGATTTCTTCAAGGTCTATTGCACTGATGGATTCTCATAAACTCATCCCATCAGGTTCTGAACACGATGAAAAGCGTAAACAAATCAGATCTAAGGTAAGCAAAAGTCTAAGAAACGACCGTGAGCAGTGGTGGGCAACGAAAGCAAAAGAGATGGAAAAGGCGACGGCTATAGGGAACACAAGACAACTCTACAGACTAATAAAAGAAACTGGAATTAAAATGTCAAGTGTAAGTCAGACTATTTCGGAGAAAAACGGCACTCTCATCTGCTCCCAGTCCAGACGTTTAGAACGATGGGCGGAACATTTTAGAGAACAGTTCAGTTGGCCTTCAGCTACTCTACAACTACCCTCCATTACCAGACAGTGTGAATGGAACATTGAAGTAGGTCCTCCAACTCTAGCTGAAGTTCAAAAGGCTATAGTTAATCTGAAACGAGGAAGGGCAGCTGGTTCAGATGGATTGGCCCCAGAGGTCTTTAAGGACGGTGGTCCAATTTTAGCGACTAGGTTGACTAATATTCTAGTTAAAATCTGGGAGTTGGACATAATCTGATCTGACTGGTCACAATCACTTATCGTCCCAATATTTAAGAAAGGGTCAAAATCATCCTGTGACAACGTAGAAGGATTAGTTTGACTAATATACTGTCTAAAATACTAGCATCGATAATTTTCGGACGCCTAATTAAGACTCGTGAACTGCAAACATGAGAGAATCAAGCTGGCTTCAGACCTGGTCGTGGATGCATAGACCATATATTCACCGTTCGTCAGGTTCTAGAACACATGCATACTTATCGGCGTCCGACAATGGTGGTTTTTCTTGACTTAAAAGCAGCATTTGACTCTGTAGATCGAGAGGTTCTGCGGCAGTGCCTGTCATTGAAAGGCGTACCTCAAAAGTACATAAACCTTATGAAGGCTCTTTACTCGAACACTACTAGTCGAGTGACAGCTTATGGCGAACTGTAATGTCATTTTGCAACCTCAAGTGGTATCGTCAAGGCTGTCCACTATCTCGATTTTTGTTTACCTTTATCATAGACCTACTGATGGAAATAATGCTCTCATCGACTGAATTCTCGGGCATTAATCTCCTACCAGGAGGTCCACTTATCGACTTAGGATACGCAGATGACATAGTCCTGTTTGGTGAAGACGCTGATGAAATGCAGAGTCTTTTGGTAGCACTGAGCAACAATGCCAGAATGTTTGGGATGCGCTTCTTTCCCTCTAAATGCAAGTTGTTGCTTCAGGACTGATCTTCGTCAACACCTGAACTAAGGATAGGGAGTGAGGTAGTCGAACGTGTTGACAACTTCACTTATCTTGGAAGTCTGATCAGCTGTAATGGGTTGGTGTCTGACGAAATCTCAGCACGGATTCGAAAAGCTCGTTTGGCTTTTGCCAACTTACGTCACCTATGAGGAAGGCGAGGTATTCATCTATCAATAAAAGGACGACTATACTGCTCGGCAGTTCGTTCTGTTTTACTTTATGGCTGTGAAACATGGCCATTAAGAGTTGAAGATACTCTTAAGCTACTAATATTTGACCACAGATGGCTTAGAAATATTGCTGGTATCTGCTGGGATCACCGGGTAAGTAATAGTGAGGTTAGACTCAGGGTATTAAGGAATAGTGGTAAACCAGTTGATGAGGTTGTGAATCTTCATCGACCGAGACGGTTGGGTCACGTGTTACGTATGCCCAACCACCGATTACCACAACACGCAATGTTGGAGATAGTTGGAAGTTAGGGGTGGCTAAACCAAAACGTGGCATCAGTGTTTGAAGTCACTAACACCTGGTCTTAGCCATGTTAGTAGACGCAAACTACTTGTTTGGGGTCCGCGTGACTATCGTAACTAATGGTTGGAGACTCTTGGTGACATGGCCCAGGATCGATCACAATGGCGTAGCCCCCAAATGCCCTGGTACGGCTGAGAGTGGGGATAGTCCGCTCTCCCTCTTGAAATGCTCTCACATGGCCACGCGTTTATAGCCTCTGACAGGGAAGTCCTACTCACTGCCTTCTCGCACCACGGGTGTTGTTTACGAAAATGAGAGGACGAAAAACAAATTTCCGGCGCTTTAACCGGATCCCAAACCAATAGTGCACATGGGCTCCAGTATCCTGAGGGAACAAATGACGTATGAACCAATCGTTGGTCACCGGCTACCATGGGACTGCAGCATCTCCTCACGATACTCCACTGCCTTGTGGGTTAGACGTTCAGGTCGAAGGCTTGTGGTATGGCCCCCTAAGAAAGCCACCTGTTTCGGTTTGGGCACCCAGGCCCTCACACAAATCAATTGAGATTCGTGTGGCGCATATGTATTTGGTGCCTCCGTGTACCTATACCTATGTGTTAAAATAAATAAATACAATGGCGTAGGTGTATACACTCTCTGTCTTCCCTTAAACTAAGAGATTAAAATCGCTTCATGTCTTTCTTTCTACGAACTAATTCTTTCTTCCTGTATTATATCCTTATACACAATCTTTCTTTTATATACTACTACCTTTGATGTGACTAATTCTATGAATCCGGTGTTCATCTTGTTGTGCTAATGCGGTATAGCAACTTGGACCGATGTATATATGTGCCTGGTCCTACGTTTCAGCTGACTGACATACTGTGTACGAACATTTCTTCTTGAGATTCCCGAAAAAGAAACTGGGTTATTGATGGTCTTATTGATCCGGGAATGTAACCACAGAGTTTAAGGGCCAATTGCTTGAGCTTGGTTACACATGACGTTCTTATAGGAGGTTTTTGACGTGTTAGTTCTATAATTCAGAAGACCTTACTACCGGAGACGGAAATTTTTGAGGTGTGACATTTTTACGGTAAAACTTTTATTACGTCTTCCTTTTGTTGTGAGAAGGCAACGTCGCTGCAGATGCTGGTTGTCTGGGAGAAACACCTTACTGTTGTCACACCCTTCTACAGTCAGCAGTACGATTCTGTCCTCGGATGGATCTTAAATAGGGGGTATGAAATAGTGTATAGAATGTGTTTGTGTGTGACAATATCAGTGTATCACTCCGTATTACAGTAGTTTGTTAATTTAACTTACATGCATTCTGAATTTCTTATTTGCAAAGTTATTCAAGTCCGACAGTTGTTTGCTTACATCATCGATAGATACACTGATTTGTCTTACGCTTTCTCAGATCATATGGAAATTGTGTATAGACGTGTTCTGTAGTAAGTAAAAACTTTTTATAAAAACCACATTTCGTATTCATTTTGTTAATAACATTATCAAATGTTGAAAATATTGTTACCTTTCATATTGTTCAGTCGTAGTGAGCTCATACCGATCATAAAGTTAGTGCTTAGTATGTACTCTATTAAATAGGAGGAATAATATATATAGAATCAAATATATGCCTTCTGTTCTGTGGTTCTCAATGGTTCCCTATTTAATTTCCCTAATGTAAAGAACATCATTTAAACTATTGACAGTTGATTATCTTCTTCTCAAAACTTATTAATTTCACTTAACATTTGTACAATCTATTCAAAACAGTGTCTACTGTTTTTTCGTTTTTCAGGGTTCAAATATTTCACAGCTAATCATTGAATATGGTTCTTCTAGCGGTTCTGCTACCAATAAAAATGACCCAAATTTACCAGGTTCAAGACATAGTATATCTAACCAATTTGTACTGGATTTGTCCACTGCACCAATTACCTATATAAATAATTTAGAAACTGATCCAGCTTATGCCTATTGGCCAGCTTCTCTGCATACATTATTCAATTTCGATTTTTCTGGTGGTCTACGTAGAATACGTAAAAATTTGTATAATGTTATTCTGATAATTGATCCCGTTTCATTTGAAAGTCGTGAAATGTTAAAATTGACAGAATCTTTTCTTCTTCATATGACTCCAGTACGGTAAGTTATGTTCCATACTTTTTTTGTGTTTTCAATTTGCGATTCAAATTGTGAGAATGATACATGTCAACTGAACCATATACTAAAGTTTTTGACTTAACAAAAACTTTAAGGAATTTTATAAAATGTTACAAGCTGTTTGTTACTTCTATTGAAGCGTCTACTTGACCTGATTGAGATACGCGCGAAACCGATGTTCCAAAACAACGATTTGTCTATAATAGCGGTTCTTTATTGAATAATACACAAATTTTAGTTACATACCTCAACTTGTGAGGTGTCTGTGGTGTTTAGACGCGTCCTTCAAGTATAAAGATAAAAGGCTTCCTGTAACAGTAACATAAAGAATAATTATAACATACGATAGTACAAAGGACAGCTGATAGCTGTGTCTAAATTTGATAGCAGTTTATGAACAACCGAAACCCGAACCAAGAGCAAAACAATATGGAAACTGTTGCGTTTAAACAAATGCACGAAACTGTGGTTAAACGTTACAGTGATTAAGGTACAGTAATTATAATGATAAATACAATGATAAGTACAATAAACGTCATAAATATATGTGAATAATTCAGAATAATACAATACGACTTGCGTTACAACATAGGTGCAAAATTGTTGGAAATACAATTGCTTACTGAATGTAAATAAGTAGTACAAAACAATATACAAAAGAGTAGAAAGGAAACGAGTAGGAACAATGTAAGCAAGCTTAACACTGTTTTTGTGAAGGTATGTGTGTGTGAAATCTTGTGTTTTCTGATCTCCGATTGATTGTTCAAATGATTGTAGATGAATTAGATATGAGGATATTATTTGTACACATGATTCTAATAATAAAACTACTCTGCAATTTGGTTTGACAATTTCATCTCTTTTTGCTAATGGAGTATGAAAACTTGAACTGATGTACATGCATACCAGGTTCTACTTCGTCTCTGACCGGTTGCAATTAGGGAAATTATCTACAAACATAGTGAAATGACAAGTCACCTAAAGAGCCGGGATCCTCAGGAAGTGTATAGATATTTTGAATAATATAGGCGGATATATATATATATATATATATATATATATATATATATATATATATATATATATATATATATATATATATATATATATAGTGAGCTTAGAACAGTTCTATGTTAAGCTGATGAAATTATGCATGGTGAAAACCATTGATAAGTTGTCAAGAAAGCTTGATCCACACGAATAATTTGTTTAACTCATTTGTCCAATATCTATTTTTTGGTACCGATTTACCTGTTAATATTTCACACAAATTCTTCTATATTGATGCTTTATTGTATTTTTTTTAATAGAATTATTTGTCTTTGCTGGTACTTTATTTCTTTTATTTCAAACTATCTCTTTTTAGTTTTGGTATTATCTGGGCAGTAAATCCTAAATTGAACTCAACTAGTCTTATATTAACCCGTATATTTTCATATATATCATCCACTATACTTAATTCACATGAATCACCATTTCCTGTTCAAATCAATGGTTTAGGATCACCTGGTCCTATGGCAGCATTGTCATTTTTAACGGAAATTTATGCAAATGCTGAAAAATCAAATAATGAATTAAGTATTGATCTAATTAAACGAAAATTTGAGAAATTATTTCCAACCGCTGATTCTGATGATATATTTACTCCGGAACCTGGTAATAGTGATTATGATAATGAAGTTACGGTAAGCTATCGGTTTTTCTTTTGCTTTCTATTATCGTGTTTTTCTTTAGTGCTTATCGGTTAGAACTTAGGTTAGAAGAACACAGATATATGCGAATTATACTGTTATCAATCAGATCGTCACTAAGTTTTGCTCTAACATACAGTAATATTTATATGGATAATATGAAGATATATAGAGAAACCCAATAAAATCACTAGTTTCCTCACATTTGGAGTGTGACTCAAAGCCAAGTATACGAACCTGTGTCTGATAAACAAATTAAATAATAACAATGACAAGTTAAATTTGATGCAAATATTTAGTATAAAAGAAATATTCTTTCAAAATACCGAACATTTTATTAACATTAGTCTAATTTATTATAGAAAAAAGACTATTTAGTCTAGGTAACAGTTAGATAACTATTCTTTTCAGAAACTAGTGCATTAAGATAAAAATGTTAATCGAATAGACTTGTCTGTCCTCTGTCTTGATTTTATTGCTTAGATAACAAGCTGGGTATATTAAAAGTGAGAACGTTTATACAATTTCACTAAGATAGTTGTATTGTGTTAGACAAACGACTAAATAAAAGTTAGATTTTATTTAGTCCTAGATTCTTTGGTATATGTTCATCAAACTGAAAATATGCCTGTTTCTATTTCCCCGGTGTAGTTCCTTCGGTTTCTACATATAACTTTCTAGGTTCAGTTGTCGTTGAAACAAAATGAGAATACACCTATTTTCTACCGAACTTAAATTTTCGCAATATTGTGTCTTTTGAATACTAAGCGATTAAAGACGGGCTTCTCAAAGATGACATTTCTTCTTTTTAACTTGTACGATTTCATATTTATGAATAGAAGTTTTGTAGTATTCGTCACGCAATAAACAATTCTAAGTTTCATTTCTCCTACCCACTCATGAGTGCTTAAATTTCAAGTAGTTGATTAGATGGCAAATTTTATGATGTTACACATACCCAAACGTTGTCTACGTTGACATGCCATCTTTTTCAAGTTACAAGTTAGAAGAAGGGTATGAGCAGAAAAACCAAAACAGAAAATCAGCTTTGGAGATTACCGACTGTTAGTATGAGCCGTATTGATATATGCAAACTTCGTGGTTGGGTTCTGCTCAATATCCTAGGTGATGTGATTTCGAATTGTTTGTTGATCCATAATATTGTTTCATACTTCTGATTCCTCGATTTCATTTTCTTCCTTTGAATTATATTTCCCACGTCTAGTATCTTATTGTAATTAACACACTGCGAACCAAAAAGTGTTATGACTGGATTTTTTTTAAATTTAAATTTTAGTCCCACCATGAATTTCTTATTCGTTCTGGACTCCAATCAATCAAGAAGATCCCACTAATACTTTTCAACGGAATTATATTAGATAGTGATGGGATTAAAAAAATTGGAGGTTTCGAAGATACTGTTGTTACTCTGTCCATGGAAGAATTAATGCACGTACAGTCAGCTGTATTTCAAGGTCAAATGAGTAATTCTCAGACAATATTTGATTTATATCAAAAGACAGCAACTATTGTCCCACGATTTAATGTACGATTATTAAATAAACAGAAAGATAATTCAAATCAAAGGTCCCTTAATTCACCGAAGTATATCAACTTCAATGAATATTCTATGCCAATGGGCACATGTATGTAAAATTTTCCTGGAAAAATTGTTTTTATTTGATTATTATTTCAATTATTTACCAGCGAATAAGTTCGAAAAGAATTCCCAAAGTTCCAGTGAGAAGCTGTAAGCACTGTAGTTCAATTATATCGTTAGTAAGACGATTATCGCCAATGGCAGTTGATGATTGTATAATATCGCAAAGTATATCGAGTTGTACATGAGAGCTACAATTATCTTAAGGTAGTGTATTTGGTTCAAGGACTGTGGGTCCTAGGTTCGGTTCCTGATGGGACCATGGATACACACTGCTGACAAGTCTTACTGGGATGAGACACCTGTTCAACATCCCCTGGTTTTCTACTTAAGCCTGTTACCCCTCGTGGAGTAGCATAGGCCACCCACCAGCATTCTCAATCCGAATCTGTCCTGGCCAATCCTTTCCAGCTCTTTCCAGTTCCTACTCATCCTTTTCATATTTTCCTCTATTTCCCGACGTAATGTGTTCTTCGGCCTTCCTCTTTTCCGCTTCCCTTCAGGATTGCAAGCTAGGGCTTGCCTTGTGATGCAGTTTGATTTTTTCCTCAATGCATGTCCTATCCACTACCATCGTCTTTCCCTAGTTTCTTCATCAAATGGAAGTTGGTTTGTTCTCTCCCATAGTAGGCTGTTGCTGATCTTATCCGGTCAACGGACATTCAGTATATTACATAGACAATTGTTTATCAGTACCTGTACCGTTTTGATGATGGTTATAGTAGTTCTCAAAATTTCAGCTTCGTACGGTAGAACTATACTGACGTTCGTATTGAGGATTCTGATTTTGATGTTGGTTGACAGTTGTTTTGGGTTCCATATGTTCTTCAACTGTGATTGGGTTGGTGTTCTCCGTGTTGTATTTGAGGATCTTGCATTTCCTCTTGTGTATCTTGAAGCCTACTGCTGCAGAGGTCGCTGCTACACTAACTGTCTTAACCTGTAATCGTTCCTGTGTATGAGATAGAAGAGCTAGATCATCTGTGAAGTCCAAATCGTCTAGTTGTATCCATGCTGTCCATTGTATTCTGCGCTTCCCAGTTGTAGAGGTCTTGGTAATCCAGTCAACCACCAGACGAAAGAGAAGGGGAGAGATTAAGCAACCTTGTCTAACATCGATCTTCACTTGGGATGCACCTGTCAGCTGTCCTCCATGCACGAATTTTCAGTGAGTCCGTCGTACGAATTCCGTTTGATATTAATCATTTCCTGTACACCTTAGTATCGAAGAAGGCTCTATAAAGTTCCCCTATCCGCACTACCAAGCGCTTTTTCATAGTCAAGGAAGTTGATGTATTGCGACGAGTCCAATTCAATTGATTGCTCAACAATGATTCATAGTGTTGCAATCTAATCTGTGCACGGAATGCAGCCTATTGATCTCGAAGTTGGGCGTCTACTGAATCTTTCATCTTGATCGTTTCCTGTTACCGATAATGGTGTGATGTCTGTGTAGTTTTCACATTTGCTCGGATCTACTTTCTTTGATATCTTGAAGTATCTTTCTTTCCAATCGGCCAGTGGCACTTGTTCTTCCTCCTAAATCTCCCTAAATAGAATGTGGAGTATGCTTGCAGTTACTTTTATATCTGACTTCAGTGCTTCAGCTGGTATGCTGTTAGGTTCTGCTGCTTTCCCACCCTTGATTTTTCTGATAGCCATCCTAATTTCTTCCGTCGTTGGTGGAGTGACATCTATAGGAAGGTCTGTAGGTGCTGCTTTGATTTCCGGTGAATTCAGTGGAGCTGATCTATTCAAGAGTTCGTCAAAGTATTCCACCCATCTGTTCCTCTGTTCTTGAATCTCGGTGATTGTCTTTCCTTGTTTGTCTTTGACCGGTCTCTCTGGTTTACTATATTCCCCTGCTAGTTTCTGTTTGTCATCTCTAATGCTCCTCTCCACTTGCTTGTTTGCTTCAATGTATTCAGCTTGTACTTTGAATTTCTCTATTCTTGTTCGGCTGTCGTTAATTGCTGTTTTTTTGTTCTTCCTTTCTTGAGTCCTGTCTAGTGTTTCGATGAAGATCCATTCCTTATAATGATGCTTCTTGCGGCCCAGAACCTCGACGCGTTGAAGCTAGTGCTTCTTTGATCTCTTCCCAGTTGTTTAAAAAGTCTTAATTGTTTATTCGGGTTATCGTTTTTTAGAAAGGTTGATTTCTACAGGATGGGTTTGCTGACCCCATGCTCAATCCTCCTCGTTTACCTCGGCATGGGATCGGCAGTAACCCTAGACGAGCTACAGGCGGAGTTTTCAATTGATATCTAGTTGAATGTAGTTGTTAATGTAAATTATTTCCGGTATGTGAACCTGTCCTTAGTGATCAAGTGTTTACACAGTAGTGAATGTATTTAACTTTTAACTATTGAACTTCTGGTTCAAGGACCACTTCATACTTAACCGCGGTACTATGCAGTTAATAGTTTTAATACCTTCGAGGCTGTATGTCATTACCACTAATAAGACATCTCTCGTTTTCCATTCACATTCATGTTACACATTTACAATATTTTTGGCATAATAAAATATCCTACTATTTGCATGTAGAGTAAGACATTGACTAGTTGCTCTGAGTCGGGTAAGAGAGATTATAAAGTATTTTACTGGGATGCTCAGTGATTGGAACACTTTGAATATAACCATCACTTAGAATCAAACAGAGATTTGGTCATTCTTCATATTCTATTAAATTTTAAACTGCTTCATAAGTGAACCATATTTACCTATTGTCTTTTCTATGTTTTCATCCTAAAATATTTTTACTTTTACTCTAGGAAGATCTCATGTTATCTAGATTTTTTAGTGAATAAATGGTTATTCTGACATTTTAAGGTTAACTGTGATAACTTTCTTCCATTTCATATTTCCCCACTAGCTTTTCCTATCATCTAATTGGTTCTCGCTTTTAGCTTGCTAATTTTCCTGCATCTCAGCAGCTGTTCTACTACAAATTTAACTTCCTTAAGCATTAAGGTTTTCGATGCATTACTGACTTCTATTAGGAAAGGGATTTATTGTTGAAGTGATATGTATATCATCTGTCAAATGATATCTATCAAATTATGTGTCCAATATACCTAGGTATACACTTTTTTGCTCAAATATATAAAGATATAGGATTTTGAAAAATAACAAAGTTCAAACTTGAAATGAAGCTAATGATTATGTGATTAGTACTCATATTGTTTGGCAACTGGTTTGAGAAGTACAGTGGAAGAAAGATTGAAAAATATTGTTCATTAATACAGAGATGGGTATTAATAATAAATTTAAACTATAGTTGTTTTAATGTTAGTCGTTAGAAATTCTCACAACTTGCACTCTTGTTTGTAGAAGTCTAAATTATTCTTCATTGTGGGTGTAGGATTAAAGATGATGGATAGAATTTCTCATTCAGTTCATCGTATAAATTCCAATCGCTTATTTTCACATAATAAACTTGAAAAAAAAACATACTCCCATGTATATATAATTGATATGTATAATTTTTTTCCTCATTTGTTCATTTCATTTTCTCTTCGTTTTCATTTTCATTTATATACATCCATCCATATATACATACATACACACACACACACTAGCCGATGAGAATGTACTACCCACTTCACAGTTGTTGAAATCTTTTATGGATCAAATGCGCTATTTTCAAAAAGGAGGTAAGATGGATGTAAGTAGTTTTTTTCTTTATGCTTCATTTATCCGTCTATTTGTTATTATCCTGATTTATAAATGGCAATTATACATGCGACGAAAATAATATCCACGTCGTCAGCTATACACAAATTTTCCATGTTTATACGAAAATCTAAGTCCTACTATTATGATCTCGGGGTTTATATTTGTAAACTTTATAATTTTTTGATAAATACTACTTCAAATAGTTGTATGGTGAAAATGTTTGACAATCAAATATATTCTATCACGTGGTTTGTGATTAAGAGGGTTTTTCATTTTGAGGTTAGTTTCATTCATGGTCTGACGATATACCAATCATTCAAGATAACAGATACATTCCACAATTTTTTAAACTAAGTTGATAGAAATTCTCAATAACATGTGCCCATAGTCTACATGGGATCAAACTGGAGATCTTGAATTTTCTTTTTACAGTGAACATGATATTCCACTAAACTATCGAGTTTGTTTTTCAAACCGAAGATGATTTGCGATACACATCATACCACTTTTTGATGAGATTTATCTTTGTTATGACGCGATGAAAGGTCAAAATTAGATTGATTACTCATTACGACTCTTATTCAACATTAATTCCGTTTAATTCAATTTGATGATCACTCAGTATAGAATTTATTTCGTTTTCCCCTATGACATTTTATTCTGTATAACATACGACATTCGTGTATGAATTATTTTTTCATATATGTGACTTATTCCGATTATTAATCAAAAATGGGTGTATGAATCAATATATAAATGAGTGTATTTCGGTCGGGATTGCTCGGGCTTCTGGCTGTTTGCGGAATATATTTTCCCCGTCTCCAACTCGGACTTCTCTCTCTAGTTAGCGGGGCTGGGACACATCAGAATAGCTAGCTTATTGGTCTTTGGTCACAGAGCATTTGTTCTGTTCGCAGACAAGATGAACTCGTAATCGCTTCAAACACAGCAAATTTGCGACGAGGTTGGCGCAACATGGATCCTTCAAAAGTGGAATTATTGATCGAGCAGCAGCTGAAACTTATGCAGATGCAAAACTTACGTTTAACACTTACAACTAAGCATTTCTAATCCTACTACTACTGCACCATCAGTTGATGGTATCGCGAACAGTATCTCTGAATTTCATTACGATCCTGAATACAATGTTATATTCGATATGTGGTTTCGGTGTTATGAAGACTTATTCAAATTTGATGTCGCTAATCAAGATGACGTTTGGAAAGTAGGCCTCAACATATACAAAGGAAAAACCAAGATCCTCAAATACAACACTGAGAAACTAACCCAACCACACCTAACGGCGAAACTCTGAAAGATGTGAAATCCTTCACGTACGCGGAAAGTATCATCGATGAACAAGGAGGATCGGATGCAGACGTAGAGGCGAGGATTGGCAAAGCAAAGACAGCATTCCTAAAATTGAAGAACATATGGACCTCAAAGCAACTGTTATCCAATATCAAAGTCAGAATCTTCAATACAAACGTCAAGGCAGTTCTACTGTACGGAGCTGAAACTTGGAGAACTACAACAACCACCATCAAGAAGGTACAAGTATTTATCAATAGCTGTATACGCAAGATACGTAACATCCATTGGCCAGATACTATCAGCAACGGTATACTGTAATAGAGAACAAACCAGCTTCTAGCTGGACAGGAAATTAGGAAAAGACGTTGGTAATGGATAGGACATACATTGAGGAAATCACCAAACTGCATTACGAGACAAGTGCTAACTTGGAATCTTGAAGGGAAGCGGAAAAGAGAAAGGCTTAAGAACACATTACGTCGGGAAATAGAGACAGATATGAAAAGGATGAATAGGAACTGGAAAGAGCTGGAAAGGATTGCCCAGGACAGGGTTGGGTGGCCTATTCTCCTCGACGAGGAGTAACAGGTGTAATTCGTTAGTAGTTTCAATCCTCTACTGTGGTCTATGCCTCGTTCGAGAATGCAATAATCGAAACACATCATTTTGTGCCTGCCAAATGAATCGTTTAGAACATTCGACTTTCAACCATTAAGCTTCAGGCTAAAACTTTGTTTCATGTGCCTCACTCTTTCTAACTGAGTAGTTTCACTACCCTTCAAGCGAAATAGGCTGCTCAACGCTACACAGACCCATGTTTGATGAGTTTTGTTTATTATTTTACCAGCTGATAATATTTGTCGAGGTACTATTCTCTCGGAAGATTTATACTGGTTTTTTCTTAAAGAAGATTATTATTACCATTATTTTTCAAGATTTAGAGGCATCTATTCGACCAGTTACAATGTGGATAGTTATCGGTGATTTAGATCAAATTTTCGATTCCAATTTACCGGAAGAACATCGTCTCCAACTTCAAATTGATTGCAATTTAGCTCTTAATGCATTAACATTTCTACGTAGCGTTCATTCTACAAAGGGTTTACGTATTGGTTTCGTATATAACCCATTGAAACTAACTAAAGAGGAAAAATCAACTAATCATTGGTTAACACGTGTACTTTATCTTGTTGGTAATCCAATCAATATAACATCACCATTATCTAACCAATTGAATAATGAAATAATAGCAAAGCGAAAATATGCTGAACAAATGTCAGGACGTAATTTTGCTATACGTCTTATCAAAGAAATATTGGAATCGATTAAAACTTCTAAATCTATTAAATCTTTAGAAGAACTTCTAGTTTCAGTGAGTTTTTTGTCTTCGTCTTTTTCCATTGTTATCGTTATTATTTTATGGTTAATATATTTTGTTTTCATTATATTTAGTAGAAAGTAGTGACTTGGAGATGTTCATAGACTCAATTTTAACATAACTATATTAGTAAAGTGACTGAGAAAATGAACATAATGAACAACTAGAGAATTCAAATGATAATGCCAGCTATACTAGTTTAGAAAGCACAGTTCTAAGGGAACAAATGAACAATATCAAAACTCTATATTGAGAAAAATAGAAAAGAGATCAGAATTAGTTGTATTTGTGTATTGATATCATATTATAATCTATCCACACTTCCCGTTTTTTACCAATAACTCCATTACTAACCAACATATTATATTAAAGTAGACGATGACTAGAACACGTGTTATACATACTTGGTTACACCAGTCGATAACGTTTGTTAGTCTGATAAATCTATCTTCCATATTTACTTAGTAATTGACATCTAACCTCAACATTACTTACTCTATAGTCTCAGCATTCATGGCCAATGATTCAATGATATCTACAATTAAATACTAGCAAACTTCATCTATATCCTGTTAATAAAGAACGTCTTTTACACCTGTAAATTAGTACAAAGTGGAATGGTGCATAAAGTATTATCCTCTCAACAGACAAAAAGCCTTCAAATGCCCTGGTACAGCTGAGGGTCAGGAAAGTCTTCTCTCCCTCTCGAAATGCTCTCACATAGCTACGTGTATACTGATACTGCCAGCGAAATCCTACTCACTACCTTCTCGCGGTGCGAGTGTTGTTTACAAAATTGAGAGGAAGATAAGCGAATGTTTGACACTTTAACCGGGTCGGTGTACACGGACGGTTTACCTAGGGGAGTTGAAAATCCCTGACTCCAAACCAATGATGCACATGCGCTTTAGAATCCTGAAGTAGCAAATGGCGTATGAACCAATTGTTGGTCACTGGCTACCATGGAAACGCATCTCCTGACGTTGCTTCACTGCCTTGTGGATTAGATCTCCCGGTCGATGGTTCGGGGAGTGACCTACTAAGAAAAGCACCTGCTTCGGTTTGGGCGCCCAGGCAGTAGCACAGTCCTCACACAAATCAGTGGTAACTACTACTGGCCTTATTGCTATTTTGTGGCAAATATGTATTTGGTGCCCCTCGTATCATAGTTGATCGAAGTTGTCAAAAGTTCAACAAATTCTGCTCTATCTTTGTCAATATTTCGTTAGCCACTAAATCATCAGTGTTATTCAAGTTTACATTGTAATATTACTACTTTGAGAATTGAATTATACTGATCTTTAAAATTATAGGCTTCATGGATCAAGTATTTTCATTATATTCTTAGAAATCTCAGATTTGACTTATGTTTCTTTTTGTCATGTGTTATTCAGGGCATGGATTCCAAACAGATACATGATGCTATTCAATTATTTGATAGAAATAGTTTTCTTAAAATGCACTCAACTATTGCCTGTCAGATTATTGGTTTGAAACCCGGTGAACGAGCTGTTGTTGTGAATGGTAAAGTAAGTTTTAAAATACCATTTAGTAAATTTTCATAAATTGTAAGCTCAGTATATTATTTTTAATTAAATATGACTCTGCTTTAAGTTCTACTCTTCATATGTGGGCTAGTGATAATATTTTTACGGCCCAATATCTGACTCCAATTGGATCGTACGAATAATGATTTTTATGGAAATATACATCCCGGCTGCTCTCGTATATAATTGTCGACTTAAGTTGCGTCAGTGAATAACAGAAATAAATAAGTCAAATACGAGAATGGATTTTGAATACATATATTTCATACAATTGTTGGTCGAAACGGAAAATCAGGGAAGCGAAGCGAAAGAAGCGGAAAGGAAAGAGCGAAGCGAAACTACATAATACGCAGTTGAGAAGGTGTATGAACCAACTCCATTTAACTAAGCGTGACTCAATATTTATGGTCAGATAAAAATAATTTACTGACATAATAGCACACATACACTCAAATAAAATCATTCAGGGTTAATAGGCGAATAAGTGACGAGATAAGAATGTGACTTATGAATGAATAGATTGGTCTGTTCAGAGGCTAGAATAACCTATGTGGGCTTGACATAGCACCAGCTCCAACACATTATTATTATTATTATTATTATTATTATTATTATTATTTAGTTGCCCGAATCGATGTATATGGAGCAAGACTTAAATTAGCAACTTCAGTACTTGAAAGTCAAACTTATTACAACTTCTGATCCATCATTGTAAGCGTTTTCAATGCTGTCGATGATTGTTTACAATCACCAGACAAAAAATATCGGTTTCAATAAATACATATATCATTAGTCTTTCCCTTTGTTATCGAATTTCCAAATTTTCAAGTTGATATTAGAAGATTAACATAATTTATATCTCCTTTATACTCTGAACATTTGAACTCGGTGACCTGCTCAAACTTCTGGGTCATCTATATATTTTCTAATTTTACGTGTATTGTTATTCAGTTTTTCTGTTTTGCATTTTTTCTTACGTAATTAAATCGTGTATATATTAACTTCCTAATGTGCGTAACAGAATTCTAAGGATCCAAGTAGTTTTATCCCATTAGATTCTTCATTTGCCCACTCCTTAGTTGAAATGGATATTATTTAAAAATGATATTTGTCAACAATGACGTATTGTAGCATACAAAATAATACAGTAGCATACGTAAGCAGTGTTGGTCACAGCAAGTACACATCCAAAATATATCTGAACAATACTTTCTCCAACAATTAGTCACTATTTATTACAACACCTTGTATGATCTAACTGTAGGAAATTAAGGGTTTAAATTGTTAAGATTATGAACTGATTACATATCACCTAGGAAAATCTGTTCCCACTGTTTATTTATTTGAACACATAAACATTAATACAATAGGGCGCCGAATACATGTGCACCACACAAGTCACTTGATTTGTGTACAGGCTGTGATACTGCCTGGGCGCCCAAACCGAAGCAGGTGCTTTTCTTAGTAGGTCACTCCCCGAACCATCGACCGGGAGATCTAATCCACAAGGCAGTGAAGCAACGTCAGGAAATGCGTTTCCATGGTAGCCAGTGACCAACAATTGGTTCATACGCCATTTGCTACTTCAGGATTCTAAAGCGCATGTGCATCATTGGTTTGGAGTCAGGGATTTTCAACTCCCCTAGGTAAACCGTCCGTGTACACCGACCCGGTTAAAGTGTCAAACATTCGCTTATCTTCCTCTCAATTTTGTAAACAACACTCGCACCGCGAGAAGGTAGTGAGTAGGATTTCGCTGGCAGTATCAGTATACACGTAGCTATGTGAGAGCATTTCGAGAGGGAGAGAAGACTTTCCTGACCCTCAGCTGTACCAGTGCATTTGGTGGTTTGTTCCGAGTGAGAAAGAAATGTTCTGTTCGACAAAAAGAACAAATCAATTTGCTCCAAAAGTAATGTTCAGTCAAACTGTATTATAATAAATACTATTTGAAACTATACTACCAATTATCAACTGTTAGTAATAATAAACGTCTCTAACAAACAGAGAACTTATTTTTATTTCACTGATATGCAACAAGATCAAACAATTCACGCAACAATAATCAAAGCATAGTAATCCAATATGGCAGGCGCTAAAAAAGAATGTTAATATAGATCGTGAGTAAACACAATTAGTGAAATCTCCAACGAGTTGATTGAAGGTCAAAATCTGTAGACAATAAAATGATAATAACTGCAAACAAAGCTAAAAATGAACATGATACAGATAGCTAGAAAAGTAGTGCTAAATGTAAAGGGTAACAAAGTAATGCTGTCACTTGTTATGTTTGTATGCGAAGGGGTTTCGCATGCACACAAACACATACATAGATGTAAGATCTTACACTTAAACACTTGAAACTTCTTATAACAAGCTTAAAATCTATCAAGACGGTAATTACTACTAAACTCAGATGGAGCACCTTAAGAGTTGATTATTTTTCTCCTCACACATTCCCTGAAAAAATGAGATATTGAATCAAGCGATTGAAATTATAATGATTATTATCACACTACATTTTCACTATTTAATTTCAGATAGTCGGTCCATTCGAACCGTTTGAAGAGTTTCTGTCTGATGATTTTCGTCTAGCAGAACGTTTAGCACTAGACAATGGGGCTAAGGAGCTTGGTGATAAACTGGAAAAAATTTTAAACACAACAGCTGCAGTTCCTGATGTTATCTCTGAACTCACTTGGCAATTATCTTCAGTGCTTCAATCAGGTATTGAAGCTACCAGTTCAGTCATATCTGAAACGGTTAGTTTTTTTCTTCTCATTGAAATTATTCAGTCTGATTTCTAGTTAATTTGAGACGTAATAAAACATATGATGATTAACAAAGTGGTCTAATAGTTCCATGCACCACACACAATTGCGTAATTGTTTGAAGAGCATTGAAAATTGGTTAGGGAAAAGTAGTAGATTGACTACAAATGAGAAGTGTGATGGATAACTCTTGACTACCTGGAAAAGTATAAAGAAATGTTTAAGACAAAACGAATAGATGTAGTATTTAGAATTAAGATAGGTAAAGTAAGCACAGTGATGACATGAAAGGTTGTATAGGTAATTCGACTAACCGATTATTCATATGCTCTGCACAATGATCTGTTTTACTACAAATTCATTAACTAGTTAAACTGTGATGTAAAATTTTGCTGTCTCTATTCTTCTAGTCTTCCGTAGATGGGATCTCGGACAAAGGTCAAAATGGGCATAGAATACTTCTTCATGGTGTATCATACAATCATTCAGGTTTCATTATTCACGGAAATAAAGATGAACCAAATTTTGAATTAGTTGCTATCATAGATCCGGCTTCTCGTGATGCTCAACGTCTATCTCATATACTGATTGTACTACAGCACTCTTTACCATGTACTGTAAAAGTTTTATTTAATCCATCGCCTTCGTTATCTGAACTACCAGTGAAAAGGTATGTAGACAGTATTTTTTTATTATGACAGAGAGATGTTCTAATGTGAAATTAATAGAATTGTAAAGATACACCTTGTTTATAATGATTTTTCATTATTTGAATCTGATCTTAGCTGGCTCACCATTACAAACCAGAAAGCACTGAAAAGTTGTTTCATCATATTATGGAACTTCGCAGCTTGAAGTTAGACATGTACACCATTGGATGCCGTCTCAATACTCCAAATGTTAAGCAGTTGCGTATGCGACAGATCTTTGGTTGGATTATTTGATGTGGGGTCGTGGTTGGGCACCTCTGAGGAGTTCCAAACTCGAATGAAACAGTAGTCTAGTGCTTCCTGATTTTCGATAGTGGTCTAGCTAAGAGCAGTTCATAATTTGCATAATGAAAACTCTACATTCTCCACAAATCCCCCATATTAACTAAAATGATTTTTATTTGTCTCTTTACTTCAACAAGCAAACTTGTTCATAATTAGGTATACTACTATAAAGCACGACAATAAGCAATAACAAAGCACTCATGTAATACATTGTACATAGCCTTCAATCGTTCATTTGCATCTTTCGGTGTGCTTTGCCATCTGAACTGTATCCTCGTCTGGTCTCCAAGTGTTCTGCTAACTCTGCGCTTTCAACGCATTAAAACTCTTCACTCTGTCTGACGATTGTAGCAACTTTGATGTCACGTTCTGCCACACGCTACCCCAAAACGATCTTATGATTAGCCTCCACTACACTGCATCGGATAAAGTAACATTTTAATGTTTATATGAAACAAAAATAATCTGAAGTGTATATCTTCAAGATACGAGAACTTTCAGATGTCAATACATTTTGGACGTTATAATGTATATTCACTGTTGACAAGAATATTGGTTTTTTTTTATCGAATAGCGCTATTCCTTATTCTTACCATTTTTATAACAATTTGCCGAATCTTTTGAAGCGAAATACAAAATACCTGATAAAGTTATAAATACTAATTTAATAGATGATTTCACTTATTTAATTAAAGTTTTTCTCTTTAATTTCAAATAATTGTGTCTTGACTTTATTTTACCATTAACTCGGTCATGGCTCTTATCAAAAGTTAGACATTTTAGATATCATAAACACACTTTTAAAGGTGTGAATGTCAAGTGCGTTTATCAATACAAACTTTGTTGAAGTGCAGATTGTATTTCTATCTTGATCAAGGTATCATGACCGGGAGAACTAGTATGGTTTTGATGAAATCTCTACTGACTGGGGTTGAAAAGATGGTTTATCTATTGAAATGTTAATTAACAGATTAATGAACACCAGTACTCTTTTAAAAATATAACAATTTCTAATTGTTATTTCAGTTTTTATCGTTTCGTATGGGAACCATCATTGTTTCCAGAAAATGAATCTATACTCAATCCGTCTATTATTGTACCTCGTGCTTATTTTACTCATTTACCTGGTCAATCTTTGCTTACATTGGGTATGGATGAACCACATGGTTGGATGGTTGCTGCTATTAAAGCTGTACAAGATTTAGATAATCTACGCCTAGTTGATTATCGTTCTACCCAACATTTAGTGGAAGCTGTTTTCGAATTAGAATATCTTTTACTTGAAGGTCATTGTGTGGAAGAGGGGAGTATGAAACCGCCACGTGGACTACAATTTACGCTTGGTCCTACACCAACTACTATTGAATATGATACAATTGTTATGGCTAATTTGGTAAGGCAGGTTTTAATGAATTGTTAAAGTTCGTTATTGACTGATTGTTGTTATTTTATTGTATGAGATGTATTCTGATATGATTTGTTGTACATAATGTGAAAGGTGAGGTCAGAGCGTAACCTGAGACTGAAATACGATAATCACTAGGCAATTGCTCACATCATTTTGTTATTTTTACTATCGTTTTTCTGTCGATTAACCGCTTAACTGATATTGTTTAGTGCTTTAATTTTATTCATATATTATTTAATAATAGTGATAATAAACGACTTTCATTGGAACACAACATTGACTGTTTTGATGGCTCAATCGATTCGGTAAAATACTGAAGTCACTAAGACGACCGTAGATTTATAGCTTGCTCAATAGAATCGGACTCGAAATTTCATTTGAAAAGACAGAACCATTAGGTAGCTGACTATATAAATAAATATGAAGCAAACAATGCTGCTATCGTTTAATTGTAAAATGTTCAACTGAAGTAGAATAGATGGGTTGTGGTTAGCTGTAAACTCCAGGATACGCGTTTCATCCTATTCTTGACTTGTCAAATGCATTCGCCCTACATTCAAGTGTTAATGTTAACATTGAGATTTAATGGTGGACCTATGTCAAGTGAGACCATTCGAAAATTCAGTCGTGAATACTAACAACAGGATAATTCAAACCCTCGTAGTGTCTAGTAATATATCGTACTGTTACGTTACTCTCTAACGCAAATTAAGTTGATAATTATGTATGACGGTAGGCGGCGCGTATATTTCGTTAACTTCATCATTCGATCAAATCAGAGTCAGACCAACGGGCCACTAAATTCTTTTTAATAATATAATGTTAATCAAAATAATTTGATTGTCAGATAAGTGAATAATCAAGGATAAAAATGAAGGTTACAAGATAACCACATAACTTCTCGCTGCCCTAAAATCAATGAACCTTAGTAGTCAAAACAACTAGTGCTAAACTAGGTTTATAATTAGCAGAATCTATGTTCTCTTTATTTTTTTGAAATCTTATTTATTTATTTATCAGGGTTACTTTCAACTTAAAGCCAATCCTGGGGCTTGGCATTTGAATATTCGTGCAGGGAAATCACAAAAACTTTATGAAATATCCGGGTATGTATTTTTTCTTTTTTTGTACATCGGATTTTATAGATTTGGTTTATTTATCATTTCAAGTTATTCACTCGAGACTTGAGTACCCTGGTTTAGGTCCTGTATCGAGTTGTAGGTGCAAACTGCTGCGGAATTCTATAAAGAAACACTTATTGCTTAATACCCTTTGTATTTTAATAGATCTTTAATCGATGTCAATCAGTCTCAGGAAAACTATCTTCATCACCGAAATATATTTAACTATTATTTATAATTCAATACATCAAGTATCAAAATATCTAATGACCTCTGATTTATCCGGTAAATGTATGATATACCAATAACCTTGAGTGACCCATCAGCTAATGAGGAAACTCTGCCTAGTAGTAGTAAAAAATATTGTCATGGCAGTGGAGCAATAGCTTGGATCTTAGTAATCAGCCTTCACATGTCGGTTTATTCTTTGCAGTTCCGGATATTAGGAGTCGGGCTAGTGTTATCACCACATCGAGATTTTGTCATCAATTAATATCAGCGATAATCCAAAATAGTTAGGGTTAGGCATCAAAAATTAAGCTGAAGTTCTAAGATTAGTCTACAAATTAGGGTTAAGGTTTTTATCACAAACCGATATCAGGTATGATCCGATGCTTTGTCACCCTTCCATTTACAAACTTAAAAAACTTGTGGTTGAAATTAATAGGAAGGATTAGAGTGGAAAAATACTACTAATTGAGTCATATCGAGTACTCTATCCTAAATTTCGCGCAAAATACGTCAGGTGTCATCGTAATTCTGATTGGCTAACTCATACCCTACATTATACTATACTTTTATCATTTATCCTATTCAGTATGACATGCTTCTTCACCTGGGTTGAATAATTTGATATTTGATTATATCAATTCACTCTTTAAGTTTAACTAAAACTAGACAGTTTATGTAAGTGATTGTAAGATATGATTAAATGTGGATTCATGGCATGTTAGATACAAGTTAGCGGTGAATTATTAAATTAAAATTTATTCCCTTTCTCAAAGTCTCTTTAAATCATTACAGAAAAGCATTGAAATCTGAATCCACAACACAGTTGTTTCATCCGTACATTAATTAGTACGATTACTAATAACAAGTAACTAATAAGCAAGTTTATTAGATACAGATTCATTTGGTCAATGGGGATTTGTTTTAATTTAAATTGATTCTTTAAAGTAAATGAACTAGTTTGTTCAATAAAAAAATATTTAATGATAATCTACTTCCTGTCATCTCTTTTATTATAATTACATGTAGCCAAGAACATACTGATACATCTGTTAATTCCAAAGAAATTATCACATTGATTAGTAATTTCCGTTCTAAAATCATTGAAGTCTCTGTTAATAAACGTGCAGAATATGCCAGTGAAAGTATGTTAGATGATAGTCCTGATGAATCAAATAATTGGTTAAATAAACATTCAGAAGTTTGGTCTACATTATCGAATTATGCTGATGAATATTGTCCTTCTTGGCTAAGTGGGTAAGTAAATATTATGTTTGTTTTAATTATCTGTTTATTCAGTAGAGAAAACTGTATAAATAGATATGTGTATGATTGGTTTAACAAATGTTAATTAAAGAAAAATGAAACATGACAATTTAGTTTGGTGATTTATAAAAGAAATTGAATTCTGACTCCAACGACTAAATCATATCTACTTCCTGGCTTCTATCTCTCATAATCTCGTAAATATGGAACGCTAAGGATTAATGAACTATGAAAAAAAACAATTGGTTAGTCCTCTCTGATATTCACTTATTTTCTAGTTGTTTACTTGTAACAACAATAACTCAAAGAATTGTAAAACAGTCTATCAATTTGCTTTGATTGCTCAATTTCTAGTGACACATTTCCGTCGCAAAATTGGTCAGGTAGTCATGTGTATTATAATCGTGAAAGAAATACAAAAGATATAATCGGTTGTGGTTATTTGCAATTTATTTATTTACACTTATAAACATTGGTACAAGGAGACATCAAATTTGTATATGCCACACTTCGCCATCCGACTTGCGTGAGGGCTGGGATACTAACCTGGTGCCCAAATTATAAAGCAAATGGTTTCCTTAGGAAGTCACTCCCCGAACCATCGACCGGGAGATCTAATCCACAAGGCAGTGAAGCAACGTCAAGAGATTCAGTTCCATGGTAGCCAGTGACCAACAATTGGTTCATACGCCATTTGCTACTTCAGGATTCTAAAGCGCATGTGCATCATTGGTTTGGAGTCAGGGATTTTCAACTCCCCTAGGTAAACCGTCCGTGTACACCGACCCGGTTAAAGTGTCAAACATTCGCTTATCTTCCTCTCAATTTTGTAAACAACACTCGCACCGCGAGAAGGTAGTGAGTAGGATTTCGCTGGCAGTATCAGTATACACGTAGCTATGTGAGAGCATTTCGAGAGGGAGAGAAGACTTTCCTGACCCTCAGCTGTACCAGTGCATTTGGTGGTTTGTTCCGAGTGAGAAAGAAATGTTCTGTTCGACAAAAAGAACAAATCAATTTGCTCCAAAAGTAATGTTCAGTCAAACTATATTATAATAAATACACGGTATCATACCAAACAGGTGAAATTGTTAAGATCACTATTAATAGTAAAGACCAAGTGATTGGTCAGCATATGAATGAAAGTTCACTTTTTTTTAACTTAGTGTAACTTTTCATGACATCAGTTCCCATTACCAATGTGACATTTAAGTAGCGCTGACTACGTTGATAGGTGATGATGTTTGGTTCAATATTTTTATTATTAACTTGTTGACTGTATACTGTTTTTACTGAAGGTGGTTCGGACATGTGTTACGTATATTCAACTACCGCCTTCCTCGACGGCAATGTTTTTTGATACAAGAACAGTTTAGAAGAAAACTAAGGACGATCAAACGAAAATGAGCCACCTGTCTATGAAATCATTGACAAGTGGACTGAGCCATGTTAATAGGTGTAAACTGGCTAAGTGGGGTCTACATGATTATTGTAAACAATGATTTCAGATATTGAATACTATGGCTCAAAATCATCTGCAATGAAGTATTATCCAGATTTTTTAAAGGGACTAACTGTTTAAAATATGTCAACCAATCATTAAGTGTATATAAAATCAGTACATATATCATCATGTTTGGTCTTACAACGTGGTGTTTTAGGGTGCCAATACACCTTTATTGTACCGACCTTTGTGTCGTGGGAATTACAGTGGTTTCTATTTCTAGTTATAAGCAGTAGAACCGTTGGTATTACATTACCTATAGGTGACATGACTCGGAAATAAAGAATAAATTTGTAAAATAAAAAAATTATGAGTAATTTCGAAACTCAGGACCTAAGAGAAGTCAAAGAGTGAATGCATCTGCAGTATTGTGATAATTTTGTTTCATATCACCCAACATCTCTAACCATTGATAACGATAATCGCACACACCCTAATCAAGTAGAATAGAACGAACAGCTAAACAATGTGCTTATCTTTTGATTTGCAATAAATACATTTCTATTAACTTTAATATCATTTGCGTTCACCTTAAAAAATGTAGTAAACTATTTAAAAGTGAATAATTTAAATACATTTCCTGTTACTCGTATAATTAATATTCCCTTTCTCACATTAAATTTATTTCATTATTCTAAATGATTTTAACAATGATCAGTTTAATCTCAAATTTTCTTTTTATCTCATAGTTTAAAACATTCACTTGCATCTCATTTACCTTGGCATAAATGTACTTCAAATCAAGAAACTATCAATATTTTCTCTGTTGCCTCTGGTCATTTGTATGAACGATTATTAAGGTATGTTCATTTGTTTTGTCTTGTTTTTTTTTTTTTTCGATAATAAGTTTTCAATCAACCATTACGTAGATAATTAATTAATTCAATTTGAAATGGATTAGATTATACGGTTGTTGATATTTGGACTGAAATTTGATCAGTCTTACTTGGGATATATATATATATCCTATGACTATTACCTCGATTTACCCATTGTGACACAAATTAGCATATAATACATGTAATATGGCTAGCACTGGAATATAGGACATACGTTTCTTCTTATCCAGGACTCGTCAGTTGATCTCACCTCCATGTCTGATATGATGACTAATCTATCTATACTAATAGATAATTAATTACTTTATGTCATTTATTTTTACTAAATACACTGTTCTTTTTAGACAGAATAAAAAGAACATTTTGATTCTCCCCTAATATTCTACTAATAGTAGAATATTTAAGGAATGTGAATATCTTCATTTCATGTAATATATCTTTCAAATATCACTATGAGCTATCTTTAAGAGGCACTCATTTGGTTCCAAACTTTTCAAAACACGTCTAAGAACTTTAATTGTTTTTTTGTATTGGTTGTTTGAATCTTACCATTAACGTTTAGGACTGCAATTAATCAGTCTCTTATTGGCACGTGTACATCCTGTGTGGATTGCCTCGATGTTGCTTTAATTCATAAGCATTATAAGCAGAAATATATGGTGTCTAGCTGTAGAATCTAAGACGTGCATTTCGTCCTATTTGGGACTCGTCATCTAGATGTACCTTCATCCCATTGGTAAATTCTAACAACCAATACAAAAATGAATTAAACTTCACTTCATCGCATGAGCTAGTGGCTATCTGGAATCAACAGCTGAGTGAATAACGTTTCAAGCGAATGTTACAGGGAGTGAGTCACGGAGTGAACATCAACTGTTGGATGTAGGTACATCCAGCTGACGAGTTCAAGGTGGGACGAAACGCGCATCTTGAACTCCTCTGCCAGCCGCTATTGATCTCTACCTACAATACTTTAATAATTACTTTTTCGGGGTGGAGTTAATGAAGCATCTGTTGTATGTGTCAATATGAATGTTCACGAATCAACAAATTCTGCAGTGAATCTTATTTGTGGCTTCCAGAAGTAAGATAAAATTAATTAAATAAATATCTTAGATTTTCATGGTAGTCTTATTCATATTTATCTTGACTACTGATTGTCTAAATTCTTAAAATTTCATACACAACAATTTAATATTTCCCTGTAAAATGTACTATATTTTCTCATAACAACAGTACTACAATTATACTGTAATAGAACTACAAACTAAAGAACACTCTACTCAGACATAACCGTAAGTCAGGAAAGTTCAACAAAACCAAATCTTTTTTCTCAGCGACTTTATTTTTGAAATGTATATATGTATTAACACACCTTTAATTCTTTACATTAACATGTATATTTGTATATTTTGTGTTATTTCTCTTTTCAAAATAAAAGAATCATGATGTTAACTGTATTACGACATACAAATTCTCCTGTGAAATTTTGGTTCCTTAAAAACTATCTTTCACCAACATTTAAAGATTTTATACCATATATGGCAGCAGAATATGGTTTTGAATATGAATTTGTTCAATATAAATGGCCACGTTGGTTACATGCTCAAACCGAAAAACAACGTATTATATGGGGTTATAAAATTCTATTCCTTGATGTTCTATTCCCATTGAATGTGACCAAGATTATATTTGTTGATGCTGATCAAGTAATATTTTCTTACTTGTTTTTTTTTTCTTATTACTGTTCCGTTTGAGTTAAATGATTCATATGTATAGTTTTCAGTTAGCCAAACACAAAGTAGAACCTGATAAATGTACACATCGGTTCAAGTTACCATAATTTATTAGTACAGAGAAATGGAATTGTTAGGGCAAATCATAGAGTAGTCGAGTTAGTAACAGTATAAGTGATATTAGGAGTGATTGGGCATTCAAGCTATAATTCCAGAAAACAGATAAAATATTTATGAGTTTAGAGAAAAGTTATTTATTGTGTTGCAATATTTCACAGGCGAAAACCTTCTACAATGTAAAGTAAATTAATGATCAAGATTAACAAGGCTCTGTACTTATTTATTAAATGAATAATATGAATTGAGTATATATTTTTCTTGATTCGATTTATCAATATGTTAGATTGTTCGAGCGGATCTAAAAGAATTAGCCGATCTGGATTTAGATGGTGCTCCGTACGGTTATACACCATTTTGTGATTCTCGTAAAGAAATGGATGGTTTCCGATTTTGGAAACAAGGCTATTGGGCTAATCATTTAGCTGGTCGACCATATCATATTTCAGCGTTATATGTTGTCGACTTGACAAGATTTCGTCGATTAGCTGCTGGTGATCGACTTCGTGGTCAATATCATGGTCTAAGTCAGGATCCAAATAGTTTGTCTAATCTAGATCAAGATTTACCCAATAATATGATTCATCAGGTCAGTTTAACCGTAGTAACTTAGTAGCAGCTTTAATTTAGTTGTTTGTTCATTGTTTTGTTTCTTTAAACTCTTGGTTATTCCATCGAATCGCTCACTTTGCAGCATCATCTTCATAAAGCATTTTGTGCTCTAACGAAGTGAAATATGAATGAATTTTCTATATTCTTTGTAATCCAATCTTCGAACCAATAGTCGTGTTTTGATCCAAAAGCAGTCTGTAGGCTTACATCAGTTATACGGTCTCGTGAGAGGTCGTCACTCGGTCACATTTAATATCATCTTAAAAATTGGAAAGTTTAACCGAAATTTATCAGTGCATTTTAATGCATGCATATCCTGTTCAGATTACCTCGAGATTTCCATCAAATAATAATACTGCTGCAATGCGCACAGGATATCCATGTGCCTGAAAAAATGGATCGATTGTTATCCACAATATTAACAGGAAGATCCAACCAACACAAATAAACTAAAACCCACCTTGTTGCACAAACCGGTAGTTACCTGGACCCAGTAGCTAAGTGCATAATGCGTTGGGTGTTTGAAACGAAGGATATTGGTACTGGGCTTAAGTCCCAGTATAAACATCCATACTGGTATGTAAGTACATCAATCTGGTGGGTTTCAAGTAGGACAAATCGTACTTTCTAGATTCCACTGCTAGCCACTATTCAACTCCACTTGAAATCGAAAATTTCTTTCATAAAATAATAAAATCCTTCTCTATAACACAAAAGAAAAAAACATATATGAACATAATTTACAATATTCTCTGATTAAACAGTTCATTATATTAACCGTTTACATTATGAAATGATGAAAAATATTTATTTTGACTTGTACTAAATTTTTTGTATTTTCTTAATATTTATTTGGGATTCAATTATAGTTTATTTGACTTACTTTTTTAAGGTTCCAATTAAATCATTACCTCAAGAATGGTTATGGTGTGAAACATGGTGTTCTGATGAAAGTTTAGCTAAAGCGAAAACTATCGATCTGTGTAATAATCCACGTACAAAAGAACCAAAATTGACAGCAGCAATGCGTATCGCTCCGGAATGGGTTGATTATGATCGTGAAATTAAAAAATTATGGAAACGTGTCTATCTTTCTACTGAAAGCAGCAGAAGTACTAGTAAGACTTCGGCTACTGAATTTTCCACAGTTCCAACCACTTTTGAACCTCCACATTTTAAAGAAAGTCCAGTAGAAGGCTCAAAAATTGGTATGTATACTGCTTTAGCAACAAGTCAATTCATGTTTGTCATTATTTATTTAAATAGAATACGATTATACTGTACATATTCATGGTGATGTGTTAAGAGAGTTCCTCAGTACTAGATTTTCGAAATAAGTAGTTCAATGCGACTAGATAGCAACATTCATTTTCCCAGCACTTGTTGATCAATAATGTCACTTCAACAGAAGCCGTACCAAATTTAACTTTATGAAAATCGTCTTTAAAATTATGATGAAATCTTTATGGAACGATAAGAACACATAATTTATGCATTTGTACTAAACATTTCTAACAACTTGGTCACATGTATGCAAATATATGTATATGAGTGTGTGATGATGATTCAGTTTGTAAAAGTCCAGCATTACCTTTTTCCAGATCCAATTTTATGTATTTCAAGTTAACCAGTTGAACTAATCATCTAAATTACAAGATGAATGGAATGCATTACAGAAGTGTAAAACTGTATGTGAAAAAGTAAAACTGGACTTTTATATATCTTAAATCACCACAGACATATTTATATATGGGATTAGATTGCTCGAAATGAACAGTGCAAATGAATCATATTTCTTAGATCCACTTCATCTTCTCATTGCTATATGATGAAATCATTTTAAATTTAGGAATTATGTAAATCATTTAATGGAATACTTAATAATATTCTAGTCTCAATTTAAAAGTCATCGGAAAATTTACCACAAATCTCTTCGATTTTTCGTTCATAATGAACTGTAACTGGCAAATTTCCTCTTAGCTGTGAACTCCATTTTTCCTTCAAAAATAAACATGCTACTTTTAGTTTTATAAGTAGTTACGTGTAATATTCTTAAACGATTAGTGTCTATGGTAGCAAGCGAACTTAATCAATGTTTAACACATGTTCCTATGTCGTCGGAATACCTCCAAAAAAAACCTGAAAATATGCTCATCAAAGAAACTTATTATGCAATATGTAGCAATATAATTTAAAGTGTAACGTATTCCTTTTTTTCAATTACTATTTCATTTTCAGATGATAATACAGTGAAGACGGAATTGTAGGTATTTGTTCTTATCACCAGATGATTTTTACTTCTGATGACAGTCGTTCAATTATATTTCACCAACTAACCATATGTAAATTAAACCATATTTTTTTCTTTGGCTGTGTGTATGTCACTTTTCCTAAGTACTACTGATAATAAGCTTTTTTTCAACTATTCAGTTCGTTTTTATACCAATTCATTAATTATCTATTTCAAGAGAGTCTTCTTTCTTTCCTGTTTCGATTATTGGTGATTCTTGATTTATAGTCTCCTGTCTTTTGTCACTCACTGCTTACAATATTCTGCATAGTCCTTGTATTCACATGAACTGTTGTGTTGCATTCCTTTCTTCCTTCTATACAAAAGAAAACAAGTTTTCGATCAACAAAATGCCAATTTTTATTGTACTATGTACAGTCTGTAATAAGCTCATTGGTATGCATATATAGTATTTTTATCGTTTTAGTTGTATCAGTGTACTTATTTGAAGTACCAGTTGAACATTGTAAAAAAACTTCTAGTTTTATGAATTTGTTACGAAAGATATAAATTGCGTTCGTTTATTTATTTGCTTAAACACATAAGCATTTGTACATAGTGGCACCAAAATATACATGCAACACACAAATATTTGAATTTGTATATGGTCTGAAATATCGCTCGTCTGCTCAAACGGAAGTAGGTGGTTTTATTAGAGAGCCAATCCCTGCGCCTTTTACTTAGAGCTCTAATGCACAAGACATTGAGGCAACTTTAGGAGATGCGATTTTGTGGTAGCCGATAACCAAAAATAGTTTCATACGCCATTTGTTTCCTTAGTACCATGAGGCTCTCCTGCACCGTTAGTTTGGGATCATGGTTTTCCAACTGCTTCCTTGCTCACCAACCTGGTTTAAGCACCGGATATTCGGTTCTTGTCCTCTCGTTTTCGTAAACAACACCGCTGCTAAAAGACAGTCACTAGAATTTCCCTGACAGTAGCTATATTTGCGTGGCCATATATATATATATATATATATATATATATATATATATATATATATATATATATATATATATATATATCAGTACCATTTATCGTGTTTAATGCCGGTTTCATGAATTTCTACTGACACTCGATTTGGGTTAGCATACGTAACCATGAAATCGCAGTGTATCTGCTTCTCTATGTGTATGTACAATATTTAGCATTTTCCATCCATTTAGTGAATGAATGCTACATACAAGAGAATAATTTTCACAGAGGATTTCAATTCAAGCTCTAACTCAATTTATTTATCGATTAGTATTCATCCAGCAAGTCGGGATATGCCACATTGTCGTGGTCCTAGAGGATATATGTAGTTAGCTTTAAATGATTAAAATGAAGTCCCTGTTGATATACATCACCCACTAGCTGAACAAAAATGTTGAAAATTGCACTTTTCATGAACATCGAAATTAAAATAGTTGTCCTCACATCTCGATTGTCCACTCAAAATTCATCCTGTCACAAACAAACAACCAACACTAGAAAAGCGAGTCACATATTTATTGTTCGCACTCAAAGAGTCATGTATTATTACCAGTATAAAATGTAAAACAACACTGTAAATAAGTTTACACAGGTATAGAATTGAAATATTTGTGTACATAACATTTTTATAGTTAATCATTTGTCATTTATAAATGTCGGAAGATATCGCAACGGTTTACTAATCAAATGAAAGCTTACGGTTAGGATAAAAATAGAAATACCAATGGTTTATTGCACTTGTTATATAGCTAACGGGTGGGATCCAGGACTCAAGTTTCGTTCTGTTTCATACTCGTCACCTGGGTGAACCTGCACTCCAGCGTTGATATCCAGACTGAAACTCTTGTCCACTGCCAATCGTTTAAAAAATCCAAAGTGTTATCTGCTAAGCTACTATTATAGTGAACGAAGACTTAGTCAGATTAACCAATTTATTGTCAAATGCAAAATTAGAGTGCTTTCCTTTCTCTTCAATACAATCCTCTGCTGATAGTCATTGCACTTCTAATTGGCGTAACATACTACTAATATCTGTCAACATAAGTAGCATACACAACAAGTTCATATATTAGCTTGTTCGATGAGTGTAAAAATGGTAATAATGTTTTGTAATCCACTGTTGTTTATATTTGGGACTACAATTAATCAGCCTTTTATTTAGAACAAGAACTGACTTAAATTATACAGTCATTAAAAACCTAGTAGCATTAGACGTCTATTTTGTTTTAGTTTAAGACTCCTCTAATGGGAAGTCATTCAATACCTCTTCACAATCTCTGTTGTCGAATGTGCATTTTGAGCGAGATTAACATTAAATGATCTGCAACTGCTGGAAAAACTGTCAAATTGAAATAATAACCATTTATTTAAATATAAAAAGAAACGTACTTATATATTTACAAGGTCAATGTCAAAATATTTAATCGTACAAAAAATGAAATTTTAAAAAAATACATTTTTAACAAGGTTATCAAGAACATTATTGATTAACAAATGGAGTAGTGGTTTAGTGGCTTTTTACTTTCAACTATCAGATCATAGTGTCGAACATCGTAACAATCGTTCAGGCAGTCCGCTAGTATCATCATATATTTCACATGGATAATATTCTTCTCTTGAGAAATAAGTTACATTAATGATCTTGTTACTAGTATCGTTTGCCATTAAAATATGGATAGTTTTCTCACTAAGTAGATGCATTTATTTGCTACTAAGATGAATTCATTTCTCTATTAATAGTGGTCTAATTAACGATTTAGAGCATTTATACTGAAAGAGTCAACAAATATTTATTTAATACATTTTTTTCTGTGTGGAACTAAATCAAATATTTTTGAAATAAGTAGTACACAGATGACTTTTCAAAATATTCTGGTTTGGAGGTTTGATAGTTTTCCTATGACAATTATAAAATCACAAATAAGTCGGTTTCCATATCATCAAATATATTCCTTATTACAGTAGTTTACCTCCAACTGTTTGGTTATTCTTATTGAGTTTATGAACCGATCTAAGGGAAATTACAATTGAAACCTGGGAGAGCTGTTTCGTTGAAGTATGAGACTTCTCAAAAATGCACATCCACGACCCTGCAAGACCTTCGGTTTCGCGCGAAGGAGTTCCATAGTAGAAGGAAAGTCTGTCCATAAGAAACTTCGGGTTTTGTTCTGATCATCCTTTGATGGGGCTTGCCTCCAACCTCTGGGGAGATCCGTCGTCCTCACTCACTAGAAACTGGAACCCTTAAAATATAACGGCATAGTGTGATAGTTTTTTTTTCAATAAATATCCGTCAATCAATTTATCTCTTATGTAACAAAAACGACCAACTAGCGTACTTTTTGAATTATAATTAACTTTCGAGACATTGGAGTAAACCTGAACAGTTCGTTAATTAGGTATTTAACAGCTGTGTATTAAGTTTATAATAATGATTAAAAATACTTGACGGTGAAAGTAGTAACAACAGTGATTGTGAGAAAGATTAGTTGCTGTCATTATGATTCTGTTGAGGATGGTGAACTCCCGGAAATCACTTGGTAAACGTCTTATATTCGTAATTTTATTTTGGAAGTTTTAATTTCGCGTCAAAAGCGCCCATGTTTACCTTCATATTGTACTTCCTACTTGGAAGGACCCTAAATGCCATTGGTTCAGTGCCCATTTTAGTATGCTATTTTGTATCATTTCCTAAAGATCTTGAGTTGTGTGCTTGTTTTGCTCGTGCTTCTGGCTGCTTGTGAAATATACGTTTTACTCTGCTGAACCTAGTCTTTTCCATCTAGTTAACAAGGCTGGAGCTGAATGGAATAGTTTAGCTTGTCTTGTCGTAGTGTTGCTGATCCTTCATTCCGTTTTTTTATTTAGGTGATCTCGTAATCCCTTCAAACATAGCAGATTCAGCAGTAAATCATGAATTTATGGAATAAAAGATATAAGATGATTTTAAAATAAATTCAATGGAAGACAGGAAACAAATTCATGTTCACTATTAGGATACATTCTAAACCATGTCACTTAACGGTTCAAACCACTGATTAAGACCATCTCGTGTACCCCAATCAAGTAGTGTGCAACTAACTACAAGACTCACTCCAACAGTCATTGACTTCATGATCTGACGTCATGTTTAGTTTGGCCTTCCATAGCTTTCTTTCAAACTACTATACCAATAAATATTGAATATCAAAGTAGATGGTTGCTGGGCATATGGAATTTATGTACCAATCACCTCAGTTGATGAATATTCAATACCCTATCAAATGATTTACAATCTTCATCTAGCACCCTATGTTCGAGCTTCACATCACTCACTTGGTCAGTCTACAACACACGGACTTTGCTCTTAAAACACTTATGGCCAAATATTGATAATTTTTGGGTGTTCCCTTTTTTAAAAGGTTATGGTTTACACCTATCATATAGAATAGAACAAAACACTGCACAACATATCCTATCTCACAAATATTCACATCAAAATTGATCTATTAATGATAAGATCATTATGTATTTATTGTTATAAATAGATTATTTAATCTAATGATAGTGTCGTAAAAGACAACAATTACAGTTTAATGAATATCAGTTAATTATAAATCTGATCATACCTTTGACATTATCCACATCAACAAATCACAAATAGTTAAAATCGTGAGTCAATTGAAGCTAGATCACCATGGAAAACCTGGAAGCACTGGACGGCCATCTCGTCCTAGTATGAGACTCCTCGACAGTGCGCATCCACGATCTCGCCCCCCACGAGACTCAAACCTAGGACCTATCAATCTCACGCGTGAGCGCTTAACCATTAGACCACTCAGCCGGCATCCAACGGTGTTAATATCACAAATGTCCCATTTATGAGTTCTCACCATAAACTGATATAAATTTCTAAATCAACAAAGACTATGACTATACTAGAAAGATGTTTCATTAAATTCAGACTATTTGGATCCATTGAAAGCGGATGAATGGGTTTCTTACCGATTCAAAAGACTAGAGTATTAATTACTATTCGATGATAAGGGTTCTACAGAAATTCAGTTGAGATTCGATCAGATTAAAGGTGACTTTTCTGGTTGCTTTTCAATGGTACCTTACGTTTAAAGGTACTCCTTGTAGACAAATACTAGCTGCCATGAAACCTAGGTCGAATAGAGCTTTCTATCAAACTCAACTAATCATCTAACATAGCTTTTTCATTGTATTGACTCCAGACGATGCAACAACTTATTTTAATACACGATCAATTTTGGTCATTCATTTGAAATAATAACTCGACTCGATATTTACTTGGTATTGTTTATTTGAATATTCCCATTGATGTCTAGAACTGTAATTGATCAGTCTCTTATTGGTATATCTGCATACTGTGCGGATTGCCTCGATATTGCCTTTATTCAGAATCATTCTAGGCGAAGATGGATAGTAACTAGCAGTGGAATCCAGTACATGTGTTTCATCCCATTTGGGACTCGTCAGCTGAATGTACATGAATCCTAGAATTGATATTCAATCCATGATTCGAACCCAGTACCATTCGCTACTGAATCCTGATACCCACTTGTTTGTAAAATGGGGTGAAGTATAAATTCATTTGGTATTGTTTACTTGAATCTTACCATTAATGTTTAAGACTGAAATTGATAACTCGTTGGCATTTGAAGCAAATGGTACTGAGTTCAAGTCCCAGAGTGAACATCAGCTCTAAGATACAGGTACATCCAACTGACGAGTCTTAAATTCCACCACTAACCATTATCCATCTCTTACACGATACTCAGTTTTTAAGAAAAATTAACACTTATTTTATAATAATTACGTTTTGATAGAAAAAGTTCACATCTAAAGAATGTAAACGTGAGATTTATAGGTCCTGGATTCGAATCTCATAAGGCTGGATCACGGATGCGCACTGATGAAGAGTCCCATAATAGGACGAAACGACTATCTAATGCTTCCAGGTTTTCCATGACGGTCTAGCTTCAATTAACTCATGATCTCAATTATTAAAAAGAATTACTATAATATCTACAAAAACCCCTTCTGAATGTAAATAAGATTAATGACCAATTCACCTCTAAGACAATCTTTATCAGTTATTTCTTTTTTTTTCTCTCTCTCTCTCTCTCTCTTACTGTCTCTACATACTATTATTATTTGTCAATCAATGAAATAGATCCTTAATTTTGATTGGTCACTTTAATGTATTAACCTAAATTCATTTGCAGTAATAATACAATGTGACCTTTAAACACTTCATTAATAATCAACAACAACAACAACAACAAAATGTAGTGAAAGGATATTCACATAAAACCATTCATATTTCGGAAATTACCCTATTCATCTCTTTATTATTATTATTGTAGTAATTGTAGTAAATTACATTAACAGTAATGATCATGAAAGATAAACCAGAAAATTCTAATGAAAATTCATTAAATAATAATAATAATACTGATGATGATCAGAGGATACATAGACATTATCCCTATAAAACTATTAATTGTCAAGTGGATCGACATCATGGATGGTATACCGGTAAGTTGTCTAATAAAATGGATGTTTGCTTGTTTGTTTGTTTTTTTTTTAAAAAAAAACGCACAATTAATTATTATTCAGTAGAAAGTTTCGATGGATTTAATTTAGTTGTCATTTCATTGTATGTACTACCCATTGCTACTATTGATTGAATGATTTAATGAGGTTATTGGATTGATGTCGTTGGAATGGCTTTGCTATGCGACTGATACTGAAGAAATGATCTAATTTGACTATTTAGAGGAAGTAACAGTTGTAACAAGGTTATCGTAGGTGAACCTGTGGAAGAATCATTATCATGACCTAAAAATATAGAATGAAACATTCACCTGGCTTTGTGGTGGAGTTTATATACGCTGGTTTAGTGGTATTTAAATTAGGCTTCAACGGTTGAATTTCATTTCATTGTAAGAATTAACGGATTGTTTGATTCATGTATCGATTGGGTTGCATAAAATTTAATGAAATAATAGTTTAGTGATTAAAACGTATTTAAATTCCAATTGTTGATATGAAGGTTTGAACACAAACCCATCTATTGTGGTTTATAAAACTAAGTTATGAACATTTAGCCGACATATTAACAGATGGAGTTCAGAGTTGATAATTCTATCCTTTAAATTAAGAAATATCGTATGAGAAGTCGTGATAAGTGGAGCTAATCTGTGTCATGTGGGAAGCAGTTACCCACCAAAGACAATGGTGAACGATCATGCAATATCGTGGATTGGTTGAAGTTAGACAGTAACACCGTTGGATCACAACTCAGTGATCTAAAGGTTAATCATTCACGCGCGATACCAGAGGTTCTGGGTTCGAATCCAGCTTGTGAGATCATGCATACACACTGTTGAGGAGTCCTATATAAGGACGAAACTGCCATCCAGTGCTTCCAGGTTTTCAGTGTTGGTCTAACAGTGATCAATTCATGATCCCAATCAAAATATGATGTTAGTCAAGTTAGTGGGTGAGCAAAAATGTTCATTTCTAACAGACATTACAAGATATTCATCATCACTCTAATTTAATATTCTATTCATTAAATCATTTTATATTTCTAAGATATATATATGTATGATGTAGGTAGTGCATTTTAATTAATAAATATTTTGCTCAGTATTTTATTAATAATTACTTCGATATCATGGATGGATCAATGTTAAACCACCACTGAAAACTTGGAAGCACTGAACAGACGTTTTGTCCTCAACAGTGAGCATCCACGATTGTGCACCAGAGGGACTCGAACTGAATACCTTCGGTCTCACGAGTGAACATTTAACCTCTAGACTAGTGAGCGGGACGAAATGGCAGTCCATTGCTTCCAGGTTTTCATTGGTGGTCTAACACTGGTCCACTGGAAATGATGAAGGAAATTGTTATCTTATAAAGTATTAAAAATATATTCTCTGACTTTTTATTATATTTTTTATACACAATCAATGGGTTAGAGAAATTCTCATCCTCTTAAAAATACTCAAATTCCATAACAAATGATCAAACAAATAATCATATGTACTTAACTTATTCTGAGTCATCATTCACGTGATTACATAATCAGAAGTACCAGATCTATAAACTTACTATTTTCGGTACAAATTTGAGTAATCTAATTATTTACAATTAAAGCTAGACCACCATGGAAAACCTGGAAGCACTGGACGGCCATTTCGTCCTAGTATGGGACTCCTCAGCAGTGCGCATCAATTGATTCATGATTTCAACTATTGAAATTACCGATTCTCCACAAAACCCATTCTAGTATTTACAATTAATTGATTATTTGGCAGTGAATAGTGTAATGTTTGACTATTCCTTAATAACTAGAAAATGCAAGTACTAAACTGAGATGTTAGATGATTGAAGGTAGTCTACAATAAAATTTTAATTTAAGTTTCGTTCTGGTTGTTACTCATCATCAAGAGTTACTTGTAATTTCGAGGGTATTATTGTTTCCTGTATGATTTTAACTCACTTCACTCAGCTTCATAGTATGAAATATCACCATTGAGTGATTTAGGCAGTGACTGATATCCTGTTGTTATTAAATAATATTACAAGTGAACAAGAGAAATTGTAATTAGATCTACTAAGGTAAGAAAAATAATCAGAAAAACACTTGTGACACATGGTACATTAGCAAAAAAAGCATAAAAATAATTCACTTAAGGATAACTACTGAGTTCAACCAGGTCTGTTGTAAGATATCAGCTCACTAAAGACAACGGTGACGGTAGCGCAATTTCGTGGATTGGTTGAAGTTAGACATTAACACCTTTGGATGCCGGCCAGCTAAGTGGTCTAATGGTTAGGCGCTCGCGCACCAGACTGATGGGTACTGGGTTCGAATCTTGCGGGGGGCGGGATCGTGGATGCGCACTGTTGAGGAGTCTCATACTTCCAGGTTTTCCATGGTTATCTAGCTTCAATTGACTCATGATTTCAACTATTGAAATTGCTAAAATCTCCACAAAACCCTTTCTGATGATAACTACTGGAATTTAGGATTTTCCCCGTTTCTGACACTTTCTTATAAAACAATATGTTATGGTGTAGTTGACTTCATGGAATGACGCCAACTCTTAATCATCTACCAGCCTTTATTTCATTTTCTAACTTGGCTATTGTCACTCAGCTCTGTAAACAGGGAACAATTCAGCATTCAGTATGAGAATAGAATACTAACTGAATTGTTATAGACTGTTACCTAATGATTAAATTGGTTGCAGAAACATAGTAGTGTATTATAGTAGAAAGTACACATGATTTAAACAGGTTGTTATCTCATAATCAGTTCACAAAATACATCAATAATATTATTTAAAAACATTTATACTAATTCAATCATATCTATATTGTAACCTGATATTAGAACAGAATTTTTTTCTCTCAATGATATATTTATGAGGATTCTCTATTGTATATACAACTCAGAGCTGGTCGCCAATATGGATGGATGCAAAAAAGGTCATTAAGGTCTCTTACTCTCATTTGATTTACTGTATTAGTTCAAAATACGGTTGAATCATGTCATTTTGATGAGTTTATGAATTGGTAATATTAACGACAGTCCTTCAGTCTGATCTTTGTTTATATAAAATGTGAAATTAAATTGAAATCTATTTTTGAAGTGTATATTATCAAACTTTGGTTAACTTATTACTATATTTCAATAGTTGATATCATGAGTCAAGTGAAGCTAGATCACCATGGAAAACCTGGAAGTACTGGACGGCCGTTTCGTCCTAGTATGAGGCTCCTCAGAAGTGCGCATCCACGATCCCGCCTCGCGAAATTTGAACCCAGGAGCTATCAGTTTCGCGCGATTATTTAATCGAAACCATATAATTGAAACTTCATACAATACATCATCTATCGCATGAATTTCAACTTTATATTCATGAATAGAATTGTTCCTTGAGACTAATCATATCACAGACAACTTTCTAAATTGTTTGATCTTCAGTATCTCTCAAAAGAGCCATATTTTCAGAGAGCATTTCTTTGTAAACATCTCGTTTTTGCTATTCCATTAGAAAGATATCAAAATTCTTGATGTAGAAAAGACAATGATTATTCATTTCAATGATCTTTAGAATGTAACAAGCGATACTTATCAATAAACTATTAATAACAGAAATGTTATTTTTGATTGAATTTGTGATCATAGCAATTCAATATAATTATATGCGACTGTATGTTGTCTACAACTGTCTTAAAGCTGATAAGTAAACAGTTGTTAGAATTTACCTTGAATCTACATTATGTTAACTTATTATGTAAATAATTATAAAAGAACCAATGCTTATTCACATGATAGTTTGGTATAATATACTAATCTAACAGAAATATGTACTAATCACTATTTAGTAAGGCGTTGAACCAGTATTTAGAAGGTAGCCAGTTCAAATCCTCCTTTGATTCAATCCTTTCTTTAATTTCAGCCATCATTCTTGAATCTTAAACTTATCTATGTTAATCTATTAAATATTTACTATCATCTATGAATATATTACATAATCCTAGAATCTTTTGGTATAATGTACTATACTCGATTATGATCCTAGTTCACTCTACAGATTATGATTTTACATTAGAAAACTAAAAGTTTTCAGACAATTTTAATTTCATTAATTCAATTATAAGAAAATAAAGATTTGCCAGTACTACGTGATACATAGTGGAATAATAAATTTCATACACAATCTGATCACATGTTTACTTGTATTAAGGTTTGTGTTTTTCAAAAACAATTTGTACTTCAAGTTATTTTGTATTGTTTATTTGAATCTTCCCATTGATGTCTAGAACTGTAATTGATCAGTCTCTTATTGGTATATCTGTATACTGTGAGGATTGCCTCGATACTGCCTTAATTTATAAGCGTTATAAGCAAAGATAGATAGTGACTAACAGTGGAATTCAGGACACGTGTTTCATCCTATATGGGACTTGTCAGCTGAATATACATGAACCCCAGAGTTGATATTCCTTCCATTACTCGAACCCAGTACCGTTAGCTACTGAGTCCTGATAGCCTCTTGCTTGTGATATGGTGTGAATTTTAAATTCATTTTTTATTGTTTGTTTGAATCTTCCCATTGATGTGAATATCAACTATGAAATACAGATACATTCAGCTGACGAGTCCTAAATAGGACGAAACACATGTCTTGGATTCCACTACTAGTCATAATCTATCATTGTTTATAATTTATACTTACACTAGACCTAATATGATAATCTTAATTTATTATCTGGAACTATATAATTTTACAGTGTTCACCATATTATCTTTGTTTCATTTTTATCTTCCAATTTATCTATATGACAGTTTACTTTCATATATAATTATGTAATTGTTGGGGATGATAGATTCCCAAAAACTCGTAGTTTGTAATTTTATTTTGTGGAGCATGTATGCAGATGTACGCGTGGGCATTTCTTACCCCTCACGCACATAGTCGATTGACGAACTTATCGATTAAATGTTTAAAAGC